TCAGTTATTGTCCCTGAACTCCTTCCACACATCAAAGTTAAATCCAAAAGTCGAACAAAGCTATAAACAGATCCATAGAAGCTTATAAGCATAGCTGTGATTAACTGTAGTTTCTCGTGGCGATCGAGTTGCTATCGAGTTTACAATAAAAAACTGCAGTATACGGCTCTGCTTTAACTGTAGAGATAAAGGAATCATTAGATAGTGGACCGGAGACGGCAACAACTAGACCTCAGACTTTGCGACTTTCTCTGCTTTTGCTTCATACCGATAGAAAAAGATATTAACGCCACATATGTCCGATGTTACCTGTTGCCAAGGATACGGCCGGGTCCTCGGAGAGACGGAGCAGCTGCCCTTGTTTTTGAACCTAGAGTACGTTTACTTGAATCCTTACTTTTTTCTTGGTGAGGAGGTTTTGATGATGCCATGAAGCTGATGAAATCTCTTTTTGCCCCGAGGAAAATGTGTGTTGTTCTCTGCAGGAAAAAAACATACGATAATAAGGGACAAGAAGAATCACAAAGAGACTGGCTCCAGGGCTGAGGTTTATCGAGCAGCTGAATACTGTAGATAAATCCATAGTAAACTTCAACAGTAGAATATATGTTTGGGGGGGGTCATAAATTTGCTCATTAAAGCTGAGGTACCTAACTTTATTGTTTCATAAATATGTTTGTAGTGACCATCAAGCTGTCTTCATCTCATTTGATTTATTTTGCCTTTTGCATACTTTGGGCTGAGAGCTGTTTGGGTCATTGGTGGTGAGGGAGGGGTTCTCAACCAGTGGGCCGTGGTACATTAGTGTGCCTTGAGATGTCGTTTGGTGTGCCTTGGGAAATTTTCCAAAGTCACATAAAGTAATTGGTCAAAATAATGTGAAAAGAAAATATTGTTTGTTAAAGATTAGAGAGATTTTTTAGCTTGTTTCATTTTCTCTACATATCTACTTTAGAATGACTTTCATACTAAGATCTGAAAAGTTTCATGTTTGATGTGCCATATGAGTGTTTTCAAACAAAAAAGTGTGCCACGGCTTCAAAAAGATTGGGAAACACTGACCTAAAGTTACAGGTTTATTCAACACATAGACGGTACATAGATGGACACAATGAAGCCCAATAGGAAAGTGCTCATGGACAAAGTTTTGCGCCAAATGACTTGCGTTGAATGGTAAACTTCTTGCTCTTTAACCGTTTGTGTCACACTCATTCATAAGCAAAAGCAGATGAAATCGCGACATATAGTACCCACACATAGTACCTGCATATTATTCACTCAATAAATTGTATATTTGTGTATAATATTTGTCTATTGTGGCGCCACCTGCTGGTAAAATCCTGGTAAAAGTGCACATCCACATACATACAAGATTCTGTGAAAAGCCTGTTGCAAAGTTACATTTAGTAACTTACATTACTCAACAGCAGTCAACCAAAGCCGTTCCCGATGTCTACAACTACATATATTCTCAGAGTGCCCCCAATTCATGTAACACTATCACTTTCCGTTTCTTTTATTTCAGCTTTCAACGCACACAGTTTCTCCTCGCCTTGATCCGCGCTGAAATCCACCGATATACTTTGAATGGACGCCTTGTTTCCTATGCATGAGCGCACAATAAGCAGTGGATGTGATTTTATGGGTTCAAATCCAGCATAAATATTCAATGCATGTGTTTATAGGAGCTCCCCGAGTGCCTTTTTTTTTTTCTCTCTCTGTTACTGCATAAAAACAACATTAAAATTTACCAAGCATTACCTAGCATTAGAGTAACTACTACAAGTGCAGACTAAGCCGTTGGAAGAGTATGAAAAAGTTATGAATGCGTAGTTAAAAGTAGAAAGTCTCCTCGCTTCTCATAGCCATGCTCTGTACATTTGCCAGACTCTTGGACAGGAATAATTAATGTGCCACTATTATTAAGGCAGTTATAAATCGCAGGTCTGGAATCTGTGTTTGAGGGATTGTGTGTGTGTGTGTGTGTGTGCGGGTGTGTGTCTGTCTTGACTGTATTTTGAATTGAATGAGGCTGAAGACTGGTTGTTTTATTGTCAATGGACCGGTGGACTCACTTCCACCAGATCAGTGAAACGATGAAAAAGGAGGCAGCATTTCAGATTTATGCAGCTAAAATCTAGAACAGTCTTCCTGAAAATGTGAATTATTATCATTTCATTCTGCAGACGTATAAATATAATTCTCTTGAGTCATAAAACCTCTTCTCCGCTGCAAGGTTCAAATGAATGATGAATCAATTACTAAATTAGCTATTTCCATAATCTATTACTTGTGATTCAAGTATAAATTAAGATGTTATTCTGCTGAAAAGGACTCCTCTTCCTCCTCCAAATCCTGGATCCGTGTGGACAGTACGTTTCTCTCTTTGGCAAAGCCGTCTGTCAATCACAACCATAGAAACTCAGAGAAAACGCAAAGAAAGAGTTATGATTGTTATAGTTAAGGGAAAGTGGTACGCTAATAAACCATTTGTCTAATCCCGATAAGCAGCTCTAGTCTTCAATTTTTTTGTTCAAACACTAAAAAGTGTGTGTATTCTTTCTGATGGCAGCTGCTTTCATTCTGCCTCAGCAACACAGCGACCTTGTGCTGTAGCTTTTGTTGCTTCAGACGGAGGTCGCCACAAAAGCTGCAGTGGTTCATAGCCTTGTACTAAAGTGAGGACGCGGAAAACATTGTGTGTCGTGTTTTTATGTTGCACCGATTTGTGTTTCCCAAATAATATTGTATATAGTAACTGGCATGCAGGTAAAAACAATTAGAATATGGTTTAAACGTCAATTTCTTTCTGTATTTCAACTTAAAATGTGACAGTAATGTTTGGCAGACTCCTTGCAGGCAGAGTGGCTCAGTTGGTAGACCATTGGCCTTCAGCCTAATCATGGGTTTGATTCCCCCACGAGACCTACTCCATCTGCTCCCACTGAAGTCTGCTGTCGTTGTATCCCTGGGCAAGACACTTAACCCCAATTTCAATTAATCTTCTTTTTCTTAACACAAAAGCGTTAAGAAGACTTTCGCCTTTGTCAGTCTCTGAATTCAACTGCCCAAACATGTCAGGTAGTAAAAGATTTAAAGCTGGGAACCTATTTTTCAAACCACAAAAAAGGAAAATGAATAAAATTATTAAAAAATAATTTCATGTAAAATGATAAATAAAATTGATCCTTATAAAAAGCTAACAGTAGTAATAATCAGCAACAGCCCTTCAGGTCACAGCGGCAGAGGTGGAGTAGCCTCTGGGTGGAGTAGGACAGGTCACAAGGTGGAGTAGCCGCTTGGTTCGGACCATCTCTGCTCTGGTCCAAAGTAAAATGCTAAATTCTTCATTCGCATTTTTCAAAAAGTGAGCCTTCCTCCTGTGGATTTTCACCTGATCCACTTGGTTCGGACCATGAATGCTCTGGTCTGGACCAGTGTAAAACCATGAACCTGTACTGCAGCAACATCTCAGGTAGAAAAAAGCAAGATTCATTCATAAAGCACTTAGGACTTGCTGCCGTTTCCAGCGCATTCCGGCGTATGCAAAATATGACAAGTTTTCTTATAATATTGTGGTTTGATTTGTACAAGATTCTGTGTTGCAACAAAAAGTTATATTTATGCAGCAAAGGTACCTCTCCTTTAAGATGTACGTACAGTATATTTAAATAATGCAGGATCCGTGTCCAGTATAACCGTTGCAAATCGTTCTGAGCTCATTATGAAAGCTGATGTTTTGTTGTTTTGAGTGAGATATTGGGAAATGGCTTCTCTCTCTTTCTCTGACGCAACAGTGTCTTGGGACGACAACTGTTGCTTCTGCCACGTTGCTCCTGACAACCCGCCGTGAGTCTTCTATTGTTTTCCCAATGCGGCGAGCGGGACTTCAAAGAGACTTGTCAGAGCCTAATGTGGAATATCACACGGTTCAGTCATTCAAGTGATTGTGACGGTGTCGGGGAAATGTTTGTGACGTTCTGAAATCTTGTCATGTTTTGTTTGTTTTGCTAATGTGAGGCGAAGGAACCGACCGGCTTCTGCTTTCACAGTGTGCAGAAAATACAATCTAGTGAAATATGAAATAATGGGTAAAGATCAATGAATAAGAATCAGGTTTACGAATCAAAAATCGGATTAATTTATTGATTGAAAGATTGCCAGATTATCACAATATATTAGTTAGAGCCTTTCTTGGAATCAGTCTCCCTCAAAGTATGTGATATCACAACATTGCATTCCCAAATGTAGTACCACTGTATCTTAAAGCTGGGGTTCCTAACTTTTTTAGTACATTATTATTGTATGTTTTTTTCTTTTTTTACAAATCAGACTGAAATATAGGCTTTTTTTCATATTTGGCATATTGGTAAGAAAGAGCCCTGTGAATGATGTTTTGAGGGAGAGGAACTACAGGTGGTTAGATGGATTTTGCATTATTTTGAGGTTTGAAAGTTAGGTAGCTCAGCTTTAATATCGATATCATAATGCATTTCAGCTTCTCTGAAACATATTGAAAGGAGTGTGATCTTTGTCAAGTTAATAAAGTAAAATTTGTCAAAACTCCTGAATCAAACACTTATTTCAGTCTCGTTATTTTTTTAATGAATTCTTTCTTCTCCTTTAGAGATTTTACACTTGCTTCTTTATTATGCTAAAGCTAGAATTTGAATTTAACTTTATTACAGAGGTACTGTTCATTTATCTGTTGCTAATTGCTACTCAATCCTACCGTTCTGTAACCGGTGATGCAACACTGAAATTTCCCCACTGTGGAACAAACAAAGAATCCCTTAATCTTAATCTTTATAATAATGCAATAGTTTGGACTCTCAAAGACGCTTCACTTGTCATTATTTATTCACACCATACTCATTGGTGATAAACTGTTACTATAGCCACATCTGCACTGGGGCACACTGACAGAAGCGAGGCAACCAGTTTGTGCCTTGTTGTTGCCACGGTTACACCCTCCTCACCATTGTCCCTCTGTTTCGCAGCTGTCTTCAACCTCATCCCCGTCGGCCTTCGAGTGGTGGCCATCCAAGGCGTCCAGACCAAGCTCTACCTGGCCATGAACAACGAAGGCTTCCTCTACACCTCCGTAAGCACCATTTCATTTTCTCTACAGTAGCGGCTAGAAAACTCACTTCCACTTGTATGTTATGATTTTGGTCGTTACCCAAAGCTCAGGATCAGAGGTGGGAGTGGGAACCTAGATTGACGGGTTAATTAACAGTTTTACCTTTCGACTCAGCTCCTAATTCACCACAACAATATTTTTTTCACAGAATAAAACTACGGTGGTGTGCAAAAGTCTCTTTATGATTTCCCTTTATAAATCATTGGTTGTTTGGGTAAGAAATATAAACTAAATATATAATATAGGAGGCAAACACAGTGATATTTGAGAAGTTAATTTAATTTTTAATTTTGGACCATTCTTCTTTGCATATAATCTCTAGTTTAGTCAAGTTTGATGGGTTCAAAGCATGAACATTTTTTGACGCTGTATTTAAGGGGGACATTGCATCTTCTCAGCTTTTGACCATGTTAGTTGTTTTCCTTCGTCATTTACACACAAAGCTGCCTTTAACGTGATTCCTGCATATTTGTAGCTTGATATTACATTCAAAAACTTATTTAGCATGACAGAAGTTTGGTTTCTGCCGTTTATGCAACAAGATACCTCTGTGTGTGTTGCCATCTACTGGATTCGTAAACAAACTGCAAGCTTCCGTCTGTCTTTTCGTCCCTCCCTATAAATCTGGAGAGAGTCAAAAAGACAAAACAGGACCGTAAAAGATTTGCATGTAGGTTCGCAATTAATCTGACACTACATACATTTGTACATACGACTGAGGGCAATATTGGCAAGACAAAATTTATTGCTTGCTGTACGAGAAATATGGTAAAGATTTGGCGCTTAGACCCCGGCAGAGCACTGCGTGACAATTGCAGAAGCAGAATTGAAGATAGAGTTTCTGAGACACTGGTTGCTGCACAAATGAAAGCTGCGGCTTGAATGTGGCTTTTTGCATGATATATGATGCTTAATTGCTGCAGCCGAGTGTGATTGACTGATGCTGTTGCCGTGCCGATGGCGAGAGGAGGAGTGAGCTTAGTATTCTTTCTTCCAGACTGACCCTCCCGCTTTAGCTTCATGATTGGTTCTCAAGTCCGTGCAAAACATTTGCAGGCTGGTGAACAGTTACTAATGATCTGAGCATACACGGCAGCATGTGCGAGTTATTTATATTCTCATATACATGCGCCGTCGTTGCTCTCCCCTCAGTCCTCTAACTACAGGGACCTAGCACCTCCCCCGGGTTTACTTTAATTTCATTATCTGAATTTTGGAGGATTCTCAATCGCATTGCAGTTTTGTCTGTGGAGAAATGCACAAAGGGGCGGGGCTAAGGGGCAGAAGGGCAGATAAGGAAGAGCTATAACTAGTTTATTTTATAACAATGCTTGAGCTCAATCCAAGCTTTTTTATGGGTTTATTGAAGAGCCAAGGGGGTCTTAGGTGATCATATTTCTGTCATGTACTTTGCTGTATTTTGTCAGTTTTTTTGTTTTCGTTTTACGTTTTACTTCCTGTCCTGTTCCCCGGTTGATTGTCTGCCTCGCCCTTCAACTGTGTCTATGTCCCCTGTGCTTTTCCCCATTTTTTGCTGGCCAATTATCACTAATCCTCGTCTCTGTGTTTTCCCCCCTGTTCAGTTCAAGATGTGTTTGGTTTGAGAGTTTCACCTTGGACATTCATTTTATTATCAAATCCGTTTATTTTATATTCCTGCATTTTGAATCCTTCCTTTGTTTCCACCACTTGCCCATCATATAACACAGAATCCAAAGACATTTAAAGTCCCCCGATCAAATTATTGTTGTGATTTAGGGCAATACAAAAATAAATTAGTTACTTAGTTTGATTTTATTTCAAACCTGCAGAATTTTTTTTCACATATCCCTATAATAATACAGGCAAAGATGTAGATAAAGAATTGAATAGAACAAACAAATCTAACCGCACAACCTGTCATCACAATGGCCCTTTTTTCAAACATGATTTTTCTCTCAAGTCGTGCGTTTGTACTCTCCCTTTCCAAAGCTCTTTCCATGTTCTGCGCTGGGAGCGAGGTTGTCTTGGAGAATGGATGCGGCGCCTATCGGGACAATTGGCGTTTAATCAAGGGCTGACACGCACAGACAGACACAGGCGTTCACACACAACCATCCAGTCCCAACGGGCAAATTCACAGGCACCAGTCTCCCACACACAAGCTATCGTCGGCAGCAGGACCCCCGGAAAACTCATCGTGGCTCGAGCAACATGGGTCCTGCTTGTGAATAACAATTGCGCTCAGTAGTGCGTTAATTTTTCATGTTTGTATGTTGCGTTTATTGATGTGTGAAGACGGCAGAACGTGAAATGATAGCTCGTTATGTTGCTATTATGCTAACTGGGGATGTTTAGTGGAAATCCTACACAGAAAATTATGTTTGTCTCGAGCTAATCGCTTTGAAGGACAAATATAATGGGAAGTGTTCAAAAACAGGCCTTGGGTTGTTTTAGCTCCATCCACAGTAATGTAACTCACTCATCCTGAGATTATACCATTTGAAAGTAATGCTATCATAGTGGTTCACTTGGTAGAGCATTGGCCTTTGAGCCTGAAGGTTGTGGGTTCGAGCCCATCATGAGACCTTCTCCACCGACTCCCACTGATGACTGCTGTCGTTGTGTCTTGGGCAAGACACTTAACCCCACTTTGCCTGAAGCCCCCGCTGAAAGATCAAGGCTATGCCATAGAGCAGCCATCCTCCTGTGGACTCACCACCTGCAGGAACTTCCTGCTCTGGACAGAGCAGTCGCATTCTCTTGCTGCTCCTCGCTTGCTGCTTTTTTATCTCCTTTAATCATTTTTGCTTACATTTTTATTCCACAAAACACGGATTACTCCTTTTTACAAACTTCAACACAAGACTGGTGGAATTTACCTAACTTACAGCATGTCGGGAGGACGGGAAAATAGAACAAAACTTTGCGACGGCTGTTTTTCACTCAAACAGGAGCTAAAACTTCTTCAAGACCGAATGTTTGTGCTTGAATCAGAATTGGGGCTGAACACAACAATACCAGTGAAAGGAAATGGACCAAATGGACAGAACGTAAGTTATGATGACGCTATTTCATTTCCCAAAATCAACAGAGACAATTGTTGGAACACATATGGTGCCAAGCCCAAGCAAGGCAAAGCTAATGATAACAAGAGTGTCATAATGCCACAGTAAAAATCTTTAATTACAAGAAACCGCTTTTCACCACTTTTGGAAGATGAATCAGCAGTAGCCTCTCAGTCCCAGTCTCAGTCTCAGTCAAGGTCAAATGCAGCTGAGTCGCTCTTTATCGGGGATTCGGCGATAAGAAATGTAAATATGCGTAATCTCAAGGTTCACTCAGTACACTCTGCTAAAGTGGATGAGATAAGACGGTTGGCTCCGAGGCTTCTGTCTGAGACCGGCGGGGTAAAAAGATTGTTGATCCACGTGGGGGCAGTAGACGTCTATGACAACACAAGTGAAAAGTTGAAACGGGATTACTCTCTCTTATTGGACGACCTTGCTAAAATGGACACAAAAATCGTTATCAGTGGCCCACTACCAAATGTGGACGGGAAGCAAATGAAACAAATTCAGTCGTCTGTATCAGCTAAATACTTTCCTACTCAACGAATGTTCACGCAGAGGACTTGCCTTCATTGAGAATTTTAATCTGTTCTGGAATAGGCATGAGCTTTTTGAAGGGAAAGGGCCACATCTGAACACTCACGGAGTAAAAGTGTTGATGGATAACCTTTCTTTTGCCCTGAGACCTCAGCCTGCGCAGCGCGTGCAGCCATCGAAAGGGAGGAAGCCAACTCCAAAAGTCTCTGCACCTCCACCACCTCGAAGGATCTCAACACCACGACCACCTCGAAGGATCTCAACACCACCACCACCTCGAAGGATCTCAACACCTCCACTGTCATCAGAAGCAGCTGCATCATCACCAGCAGCAGCTGCATCATCACCAGTAGCAGCACCAGCAGCACGACCACCACCACCAACATCCTCATCCCCAGCCTGCTCCAAAGCAGCCACGCCTTCTTCATCTACAGCGCCTCTGAAGCCCCCATCCTCACCCCAGCCTACAGCAGACAGGCCTGTGCTGGGGTTTCCTCAACCACCTGCCCCTCCATCAAAGACTCCCTCGCCACCTCCCATGGACCTGTCTTGGGTCCCCCCTGCCACGTCCACTCCATCAAGAGAGAATGGGGACACCTCCCTTTGTTTTTCATCCCCGCCTTCACTGTTAGACCTACCTGAACACTCTGCAGGGCTAATAAAATCGGCGATGAAGACTATTCCTCTCACACCCATATTAGCTCGATCTAGAGTCCTGTCCAACATGCTAAACCACTCCCCATATGTACCTCCAAAACCACCTAGGGTTTCCAATTCACCTACAAAAACCACCTCAGCCAGTCCCTCCCCTAACCTCATGACCATTCCACCCCCACTTCCCCCTCGTTCAACATCCAAAACCTCTGCCTCAGCCCACCCCGGCCCTAACCCATCACCTAAAACCCCTCCACCTCCCTGCCCCCCTCGTTCAACACCCAAAAGCCACCCACCTCTCCATCCTCCTCCCCTGCCTTCCCCTTCCCCTCTTTTCTCTAAACACTAGGATGCACAGGGTCTCTGCTTCGCAGCCACTGGCAGTCTAGTTAGAGGAGAGACCCGGCTGGGGCCCTGTCATGAAGCCACCTGTGCCATTCCCTTAGTGATAACACAAAGAATACATTACAGAAAAACATCTGGAGTTAATCAGTCTAATCTGGAAAATCTAATTCTTGTTCCGTATAAGAATCAGCCGACCGCAACCGCTGATACTGAAACTTTGAAACTTGCTACGCTTAATGTCAGATCTCTTTGTAACAAGTCTTTTTTAATCAATAATTTTATTTGTTCTCATAATCTTGATCTTATGTTCATGGCTGAAACTTGGCTTGACCAAAATTCTGAAAATGCAGTTTTAATAGAAGCATCACCACCAAATTTCAAGTTTGAATCTGAAATACGGGAAAACAAAAAAGGAGGAGGCTTAGCTGCCATTTTTAGAGACCACTTTGTCTCCCATAGAATGTCTCTTGGGAAGTTTCCATCTTTTGAATATGTGTCTTTTAAAATACAACAAAAACAATCTCCTCCAATACTCTTCGTTGTCCTATACAAGCCACCGCAGTCATGTCACAGTTTTATTGATAATTTTACCGAGTTGCTTTCAGTTGTATGCACAGATTTTGATAGTTTGGTTATTACAGGTGATTTTAATATTCATGTGGATAATGTTGATGACAGAAATGCAAATGAGCTGAGTTCTGTACTTGAATCCTTTGATCTCACTCAGCACGTAAGTGGCCCCACCCACAGCAGAGGGCACACTCTAGATCTGTTAGTTACAAAGGGGGTGAATATTTCAAATGTAAACGTGGTCGATGTTGCTCTTTCGGATCATTTCTGTGTTTTTTTTTACATGTGTTTCACTAACAAACCACCAGTGGACTCTGCAACTGTTCGAAGAAGGCACATAAATGAAAATACGAGTGAACTATTTATGGAAATGATAAACTTTGAGAATGCATCGTATTCTACTGTAGATGAACTGTTTAACTCTGTCACCTCTAGTGTTTTGAATGTTCTGGATACCGTTGCCCCTGTGAAGGTTAAAATAGTGAAAAATAAGCAGAAGGCGCCGTGGGCTAAAGCAGACTCGATCAGGGCACAAAAGAGAAAGTGCCGGAGGGCCGAGCGGAAGTGGCGCAAGTCCAACCTCCAGGTAGATTACGAGATCTTCAAAGATAAGTTGTGCGAGTTTAACCGGGTGCTACGTAGTACGAGAGAAAGGTATTTTTCTGAAATGATTGAAGGCTGCAGCAACAATCTGCGTGTTCTGTTCTCAACAGTTAATAGATTAACAAACCCCCCTGTTCAAATGCCATTAGAGCTTACTTCCAAACGTAAATGCAATGAGTTTGCTAATTTTTTCAATGACAAGGTTCAAGGCATCAAAAACGCCATTGTCTCCAATCCACAGATAACCATCCAACAGCCAGAAAGGCTCTCTGAGCTAACTCACTTTGCACCTGTAAATGATAAAACTGTCCAAGAGATAATCTCCAGTTTGAGCTCCTCCACATGCAGCTTGGATGTACTGCCCACTAGATTTCTGAAGTCTGTTCTGAGCAGTCTGTTACCTTCACTCACACAGATAATAAACATGTCCCTTCATTCTGGAATATTCCCAAAGGCCCTGAAAACTGCAGTCATCAGGCCCTTGCTAAAAAAGAGCAGTCTCGATGCTACGGTACTTAACAACTATCGTCCCATCTCAAATCTGCCATTTATGGGGAAAGTCCTTGAGAAAGTTGTCTACCTACAGCTTACTAGATTTCTTATAATCAACAACTCATTTGATATGTTTCAGTCCGGCTTTAGACCCCACCACAGCACTGAGACTAAACTCGTTAAGGTTACAAACGATATCCGGCTGAACACTGACGCAGGCAAAGTCTCAATCTTAATCTTGTTAGATCTAAGTGCTGCCTTTGACACCGTCGACCATCGAGATCCTCTTACAGAGACTAGAGGACTGGGTTGGCGTCACTGGCACCGCCCTAAGTTGGTTGAACGGTTGTTACGAATGTGAAGCGATGGTGGGGCTCCTGTGCAGCTGTCCGGTTGCGTCTCCCTCCCGTGTGTGACAGGGAGAAGCGCAAGCGGCTTGTATCACGCGCTACGGCCAATGTGATTGGCTGAGGCAGTTCTCGCGATAGTGAACAGGAGCGCAGAGAATTAAATATATAAAAAGTTTTATTTTTACACAGAACCCATTTTTAATGTGGGTTACATCAAGATCACAAGAAAGATTAAAAACATAAAACATAAAATCACCCAAGTAAATAAAACATTAAAATCACACATGGGAGAAATAGTCAAATCATAAATATCCAGCTAGAGTAGATGCCTGTCTCACATTCTTTGGAAGACTGTTCCAGATTATAGCTGCATAAATCTGAAATGCTGCCTCCCCATGTCTAGTCCTGACTCTGAAGTTGAGAAAAGAGTACACTTGTGGCACATTGGATTGCTAAATTTGAAGACAGAGTTTTTATATCAGCCCAAGGAAATCTGCTACAAGTTTTAAAGGAGACAATTATGCAAAGTCAACTCTTTATTCAATTCATCCATCCATCCATCCATCCATTTTCTTCTGCTTTATCCGTTGCCGGGTCGCGGGGGCAGCAGTCTAAGCAGAGACGCCCAGACTTCCCTATCCAAACACACTTCCTCCAGCTCGTCCGGGGGGACCCCAAGGCGTTCCCAGGTCAGCTGAGAGACATAGTCCCTCCAGCGTGTCCTGGGTCTTCCGCGGGGCCTCCTCCCGGTGGTACGTGCCCGGAACACCTCCCCAGGGAGGCGTCCAGGAGGCATCCGGAACAGATGCCCGAGCCACCTCAACTGGTTCCTCTCGACGTGGAGAAGCAGCGGTTCTACTCCGAATTTATTCAATTATTCAATTCAACTATCTCTCAATTTTTTAAAGATCCATCCATGTAACTTTGTTCGTTCACTCTAAAAGTGCCTATCTCAGTAAAGCAAAAGTATTGTCCCTAAATTAGTTTCGTAAATTTCTCAGAAGAAATTTACTTCTTTACAATCACATGGCTGTGTTTTCTGCCGGTAATTTTCCAATTTGTCACAAAAAACAAATTCTCCACCTCACGCCCTGGTGGTAGCATTGGAATAGAATTTTTGTTTTTACCCTTCATACCTTTTTTTAATTTATTTTTTATTATTATAGCACATTCTAAAACACTACATGAAAGTTATTAGCCTCATTATAGCTTTAATGGTCAACATCTAATGCATAATATTACTTCTTTAAATTCAGAAAAAAGTGATGTTATTTATTGAAGACCTGTACTGTACTGTATTCCTCAGACTGCGACCTGCTCAGCCCGTCACCCATCGACCTCCTGAAAGACGAAGACGATAAGACCCAGCCAAATAAATCCGTACGTTTCCAAACCCCTCCGTGTTTTTGTCACCAACCGTGTCCCTGTTTCTTCCGCTTTTGAACTATTTTTGGGTTATTTTGCCAGACGCCGACCGACACCCCTCCTCCGCTGCCCACCACCCCGATCCCCGATGACTACTACGAAGAAGCGGTGCCCCTGGAGAGCAGCTCCCACCCGCAGTACTTCACCACCAACACGCTCGGTCAGTTCACATCCAAAAATACACGCTTTGGCTATTAACCTCATGTGACAGGAGGCGGGAGTCATCTCAGCTCAAGAAACTCATATAAGCTCACAAAATTACTCTGTGTAGATACATATGGGTAAGTCTTAAAGCATGGGTGTCAAAGTCAAGACCCGGGAGCCAGATCCGGCCCGTGAATGAGTTATCTTGGTCCCCGGTATGATATTTGATTAGTATTAGAACTGGCCCGCACATAGCCATAAGAAAATATTGGATTATTAATTTAATGTTCAGTGTTTTCTCTTAGAAGGAAGTGTGTTTTTGAAAAATATAATACGGTACACTGTGTTAGGTTATAATTACATCTACATCTTTTTATGTGTCCACTGCTAAAAATGATAAAATATGAGGTAAAATTGAAGTATTTATGACTATGAAAGAAAAAGATCATCGTGAAATCATCATAATTCGAGAAACGTATTTACTTTTATCAGACAAAAAGCAATGATTTTAAAGGATTAGCGGTAATTTATTTGGAGCTTTGACCCCAGCAAAAAGACAGGACAAGTCCAAGGAGGGGGATTGATGGCAGAGATATGAGATGAAAGCTCCATTCCCCCGGGGGGCAGACACATTTTTGAAGGCAATGAACCAAGAAGAAACCCATTGTCTCCAGAGGGGAATGAGGGCCTGAGTTTGCTGAAGACTTGAGATGAAATGCTCTATGTTTAATCAGAGGAGAGATACAGTAGAGACGACGTCGAGAAGCAGCAGTGAATTATCTGTGCATGGTACCACTCATCGCTGAGGGACTGAACTGCAATCAAATGAATTTATCAGCAGTTAGGGCACAGAATTGCTGATTTGCCAAAAGCAGATGAGGAAATCCAACAATGAGAACACACAGGAAACCAGGTTAACCAATGTCCGTCAGTCCTGGAGCATCCCCTGAGCTTAGACCTTCCCACTGGATTTAATGATAATAATAATATAATACATATTTACGTGTATAGCACATTTATAAACAGTGATTACAGAGTGCTGCAGATTCAACATAAAACAGTCCGATCAAAAGAAATACAGCAGAATAAAGTAGACAGACAACAAGAAAGACAAAACAGTTTTTTACTAGTTTTTAAATGTGTAAGTTTATAAGTGTAAAACTAGTAGTTTATAGCTGTTTGATAAAAGTGGGTTTTAAGAAGTGATATGAAAGAGGATACTGATGGAGCTAGCCTTATCTGACTGAATGCAAGTCTTCCAGTCGGATCCTTTGCTATAACTTTAGCATATAGTTTATTGTAAAGACAAGCAATTTGATTACATTGGTCCTGTTCTACAAATAACCCGGTATATCCGCAGAAAAGCACCTGTATGTTTTAAGGCTGTAAAACCCTCACACATTCTTCATACACTTTTCTAACCATCTGAACGCACGACTGCCGAAGTGTGATCGCGGAAATATTAAACCTGTTCGTTGTAGGCCCAGAATTTTTTAGTAATGAATGAGGGAAAAACGGAAATTTTAACATTTGGACCGGCCCTTACTGACTTGGGACCACTAGGAAATTATTTGACAAACAAGGTAATGGCGTTTTAAAATCGTGTTTTTATCATCTTCGGCTTTTATCAAAAGTGAAGCCATTCTTATCTTTTAACTTGTTAGAACAGGTTGTGCATGCTTTTATTTCCAGTCGTCTGGACTACTGCAACGCACTTTATGCTGGTGTCAATCAGAAAACCCTCTCCCGGTTGCAGTTGGTCCAGAACGCAGCAGCACGACTTTTAACGGGGGCCAGAAAGCGCGAACACATCACCCCTGTACTCGCGTCTTTGCACTGGCTCCCTGTTCATTTTAGAATTGATTTTAAAATTTTACTGTTTGTTTTTAAGTCTTTGCATGGACAGGCCCCTGATTACATCTCGGACCTAGTCCAAATTTACACTCCTGCGCGCGCCCTGAGGTCCGAGAGCCAGCTCCAGCTCATGGTCCCTAACGCGAGACTTAAAACCCAGGGGGACAGAGCCTTCTCTGTGGTCGGCCCTAAGCTCTGGAACGCTCTTCCCCTCCATGTCCGGACGGCCCCCACAGTAGTGTTTTAAGTCTCGTCTTAAGACCCACTTTTAGTCTTTGGCTTTTAACACTGCGTGAGTTGTGTGGTCCTCTGTGTTTTTATTTTATTTTATTTTATTTCTATTTATGGTTTTAATCGGTTTTATATATTTGTATTCTTTTATACTTGGTGAAGCTATGGATAAGTTGTTATTTATTTTATACTTTTTTGTGCAGCACTTTGGAAACGTAACTGTTGTTTAAATGTGCTATATAAATAAAGTGGATTGGATTGGATTGGATTAGGTCTGAGCGCTGCTGTAGCTGTCAAAAGCCGTGCATACCCTGTTAAAATACAGTTGTAGAGGACAAAGTGCTGACGTTACGTGCTAACATTTGCTTACAAGTGTGTATGGTTATATGACGGTGTGTATGATATTGGAGTAGACAGATGGCCAATGAGAAGCACGCTGTAAAAAAAAAAGCTTGCACAATTACACCACATTTATATCTATTTTTTTCTTTATTGCACAAGTTGCAAAACAAAACGGAAAAGCAATACATAATTTTAACAAAGGAATAACCTTTTTCAAAAAGCACCAAGTTTACAAATCTGTGTCTTCCATTTTGCTAAAGTGCTAACATTATTGGAATTGATGGGTATTGAGATAATTCCGAGGGAGATATCTGTCTCTGCATGTAACAACACAACACACAACATCTGCGAAACAGCGAGGCAGCGAAAGGTGAACTGCGTTGTGTTACATTGTATATATTTTGTGATGTATTAATACTTCTATTGTGTTACCATCTACCCACTTACAGCTATGTTTATTGTTTTTTTAAAACTGCTTCCCCCTCACCCAGAGACACAGTATCATCCTCCTTCTGCCTACCGTCTATTCACAGGGTAAATTATTCAGAATTTCTTTTTTCCTCTTTTCTTATCAATCTTTCATTTGATTGCAGCTTCGAGGAACTCTCAGGAAGATGCTTATTATGAGGACGCAGACAACAACTACCCCACCACCAGGATGAACGGAGCTCCCAAAAACTCATGTAAAATACTTCATTATTAATCGTTTGTACTGCTCTGCTTTTGTTTACAACTATCTTCCTTAAGGGAATTGTATCATCAGAAGAATAAGGTCCCACATTTGTCTTAATAATGAGTTGAACCTTATTCTCTACTATAATTAAGTAATAGTTGCATAGTTTTATGACAAAATGGTCAAACCTTCACTGCAGACTCTTCACATGCTTGTGGTTGTATACCATCCATCTATTTTGACTCTGTGGCTCAGTTGGTAGAGCATTGGCCTTTGGGCCTGAAGGTTGTGGGTTCGAGCCCACCACGAGACCTACTTCACGCCTCCCTCTGATGACTGCTGTTGTTGTGTCCTTGGGCAAGACACTTAACCCCACTTTGCCTGAAACCCCCGCTGAAAGATCTCTGCTCCTGTGGACTCACCACCTGCAGGAGGATCAGTGAGGGGCTGGTGCACTGTACTGGGTGCAGCTCTGACTGCCACCCCCCTGACCCAGAAATGGATTAAGGGGAAGAAAATGGATGGATGGATGGAAAATGGATGGATGGATGGATGGACAGATTAGTGTCCCTGTAGAGACAATATTTTGATAATAATAATCATCATAATTTTATTTCTTAATTACTTATTCAAATAATCCCTCAGATTTTGCGTCTTGAGTGTTTTCCCAAATACTTTGTGGATCACTACTTTTCACTTATATTTCATTCTTGGGCCTGTTTCGATGACTCATTTGGACAAGTAAGTAAGTAAGTAAGTAAGTTTTTATTTATATACCGCCTTTTCACTGCAGATCTGAGTCTCAAAGCGGTTTACAATTGTTCATTTTTGGGCATTTGTCTCTCACTCCACACAGAGATGGGAGCGGGGCCTGTACAGGAGGCGCATGCTAGAACTATTGGACATATTTTTAGTGGTAGGGGAAACCGGAGTACCCGGAGGAAACCTACGCAGACACGGGGAGAACATGCAAACTCCACTCAGAAAGGCCCTGGTCCGACCGGGATTCGAACCCAAGACCTTCTTGCTGAGAGGCGAGAGTGCTATCCACTCAGCCACCGTGCCGCTGAGTGACAAACACTACATTGTGATATTCTGAAAATGCAGCAGTGAAATTGCCGTAAAACAATTCTTCTTCATAAATAGCAGCACTATTACAGCAGAAGTACTATTTACACCCTCTGAACCAATTGTTTTTGACTAATTATTACTGTGAAGGGTCCACATACTAACTGTCTAATGCAGACCAGTTTGCCCAGGTCTGCACTAGACTTTAATTTATAGTTTGAAATGGACTAGCCATGGTTTAACTACTATTCAGTCCATTTAAGGAATCCAACTGGTCTGGTCTCTTTCTGTTTTAAGATCTAAGAACTTCTTAGCCAACTTTGAATGATCTCCACTAAACTTCCACTACATTAGCTCATATGATGCATTTCATTTTAGCCCGCTGACAATCTTACACACTCTTGTTATGAAACGCCTGAATCCCCGTCACTAAATGAGTGACTAAAAGGTGACGAGAACTGTGAGTGTGTGTGAATGTGACTGTGTGTACTCATGAGTGTTTGTGTTGTTAGATAATGACTCGGACGCTCTGAGCAGCTCCTATGAGTCGTACGAGGAGGAGGAGGACGAGGCCAAAGGGCTGCCCACGCCTCAGACCTGGATGCCCGAGGAGAACCCAGAGGAGCCGGTGAAGGACTGCAGGATCTGTGCTTTCCTCATGAGAAAGAAGCGATTTGGACAGTGGAGCAAACAGCTGGTGGTGGTGCGGGACAATAAGCTACAGGTACAGTGTGGAAAAGTTGGAAAAGTGTGGTGAGGATCCAGGGAAACAATCCCATCCATTTTATTTATATAGCACATTTTATAAAACAAGTTGCCAAAGTGCAGCATCAGAGACAAAAATAACACATTTTAAACATACAGGTTTGCCAGCTTTATATACAGTATGATGTATGAAGTAAAAGCAATACAAATTCAATAACAACAATAAAATACCAGTTATCCAATACTAAACTACCTGTAATAACTGTTTTATGTTTTAAATGGGGCTGGTGCTATGAGACTTGGGTGGCATCTCTGATTGCCACCCCCCTGACCCAGTTATGGATTAAAGGGTAGAAAATGGATGGATGGATGTTTTAAATGGGACCTAGAGTCTGCAATAAAGTTGAATTGAATTGAACTAAAAACAAAAACAAACAAATAAAATAATAAAATAAATAAAGCAGGAGGAATATACAATCTTAAATCTGGGGTGCCTAACTTTCAAACCACAAAAAATGTGAACTATGTTAAAGGTATTAAAGAAGACTAAATCCGACTCTATCTTGACAGTAAATAAAAGTCCTTTAATGCAGTGGTTCCCAAAGTGGGGGTCCCGACCCCCCGGGGGGTCGCGGGAACCCCTGGGGGGGGTCGCAAGATAATTTCTACACAAACAAAAAAAAAAGTTTTTTTTTTTTTGAGCAAATATAAAGCCCTTAAATATTTATTTAGCATTTGATTTGATTCAAAAGGACTACTTGTTAAATTGTGTTTGGAGACTATAATATATTTTAATAACGTTAGTAATTTTGTCCCAGTCATTGCAGCGTCAGTCAAAATCATCACGTAACACAGCTCACATCATGCGCAGCGACAAAGCGTGTCTTGCTGTTGTTTGCTAAAACTAAAGGTGTTTGGAGGCTACAAATAAATAATACCTGCTTTAAAATGAAACGTGGTTAATATCCACAACAGAAAAACCCGGAGGGGGAGAAAAGTCACTTGTATCAGGGGTCAGGCTGATGGTGCGAAGAGAGGGAGAGAAGGCAGCGGAGGGAGGGAGAGAGGGCAGCGGAGGGAGGGAAGACAGCGGTAGAACAGCGCGTTAAAGAGGCCCGGCTTTTCGGAGTCAAAGGTAAAGAGGTCCGCACATTAAAAGCGGGTGGCCGGTTTATGCCTTTACTGACAGTAACTTTGGAAAGAGAAGCCGCGGGGATGAACCGCATAAAGTAACAGCAGCGCGGGTTAGCAGGGCATTTATGATGGGGGTCGCGGGCTAAAAACTTTGGGAACCCCTGCTTTAATGAACAGGGACGAGCCACGTAGGGCCTTCAGGGCATGTGCTTGATAATGTGCTTTTAATGTAATTGATAACAGTCACAGGATCTAGAGAGAGAGATAAATGCTTTACTGATCCCAAAGGAAATTGTGCATTAGTCCCTACACAGGATAAATAATATTTATCAGTACAGAAAATAAAATAATTGCAGATTAATGGATGATTTCGAAAGACATCTATGTGGGGATATAATCAACTGGACACACAGTTATCAACTCCATATAAACATGACCAGAAATGCACTCATACAATGTGTACAGTCACAAAACAAATAACATTCTGTACACTTGAATTCAAAAACAGGAAAAGAAAGATCAATCTCGTCTTTGAGACCTGGATGTTTCATTGCTTTTAGAGTTTCTATCCAGTGTGTTTCCCTTTGTGTCTGCAACCATCTCTAATTGTGCTTTCAATGACTTCTATGACCATTATTTTGAGTTGAAAATAATAATTGGTTCCCAGTTCACACTATTTCACCGTCAATTATTGTGCTCAACCACAATCCTACGGGATGTTTTTTTTTCCTCTGGCATTTTACACTTTGCCTCGGTACTACAGTTGGAAGCTGTATAACTAATACTGGCACATTTGCAGTAATGTTGATTAACTGTATGTGTAATATAACCTGATCAAACAAACTAAGGCTAAATACCAATACACGTGTTAAAAATAAATACAATACAAATACAAATACAAAAAAATACATAATCATGATATTTCTTTTTTCCTCACACAATTCACATTTTCCATGTCTCAATAATACAAAATACACTCTTCTTCTTACTTTCTTTTGCAGATAACATTAAGGATAAGAAAAAAAACCCAATAACAATTATGTATTAATGCTACACTGGTGAATTGAACATATATATGGTTCATCAGCTCCTATGAAAACCAACGCAGACTTGCCTTTGTCGTATATCAATGCTACTCCATTCACATTACGCCCTTCATCCCGTGCTCTTTATTTCTCCTGTAGTGCTTTAAAAGTATCAAAGAGACCTCGCCGAACACCGAGCTCCCATTGAGCCTGTGTAACGTCATCTACGTCCCAAAGGAGGGCCGCAAGAAGAGACACGAGCTGCGCTTCTCTCTGCCTGGAGGGGAGGCTCTGGTGCTGGCCGTGCAGAGCAGAGAGCAGGCCCAGCGCTGGCTCAAGGTGCGTTTGTTCACGGAATCAAAGCTCCGGGCATCAGACCAAACAGGACACAATCAAAGCGCAAGCCCGGATTAACCATACGGGCAACTGGGCAATTGCCCAGGGGCCCTCCGTGGGCGGCCCATCTAAAGGGCCTTGCTGTCTGGGCCCAGGGCCCACGGAGGGCCGTCATGGGCGGCCCATCTAAAGGGCCCAGACAGCAAGGGCACGAGCAAAATACTGTTACGGGGAATTTACACAGTAGGCGTAAACAGCACGTACGCGTTTACTGCGCGCTCTCTGCGCGTAACATTTTTTTGGAGTATCTACACTGACCGTGCGCGCAGGTCCGCGTCTTCTGATGCTCTCCCTGTGTAGTCTATGGAGCAGTGTAGAGGACAGTACGGGCCAGAGGACTGATGTAGAGCAACACAAATCACATGCATGTGTTTGTCTTCATGGTCTCTGTGCTGGTTTGGCCAGACGCGAGACTTTATAAAAGAAAAAAAAAAACGATGTCCAGAATCACTGTAAAACCTGCTGCTCCTCCTGCTGATGTTTAGACACAAGTCCTGTGTGTGTGCAGATGTGATCTAAAGCCAAGGGCCGCTAGAAAAATCATGTTTTACATGAGATTTTAATGGGAGACGCGTTGGTGCGCGCACAAAATTAGAAATCCATCCTAAATTAGAGCGCAGCAGATTTCTAATTTTGTTAGGGCACCAACGCGTCTCCCATTAAAATCTCATGTAAAACATGATTTTTCTAGCGGCCCTTGGCTTTAGATCACATCTGCACACACACAGGACTTGTGTCTAAACATCAGCAGGAGGAGCAGCAGGTTTTACAGTGATTCTGGACATCGTTTTTTTTTTTCTTTCACATGTGTGTGACCTCTTTGTGGTTTTGTTTGAGAGGGACTGTGACGATTGTGATGTGCGTGTAAGAGATGCTAAACTGAGCTCCACTTATCCAACAGATCTGGATAGTTCCTTGTCAGATGAACTTATTCAGTTCAAGCACTTTGTGCAGTATGAAACTTCACCTGTACAGCAGCTGCAAGCTCTTGACAGACATGGACTTAAGACAACATTTCCGAATGTTTATGTTGCACTAAGACTGTTTTTAACCTTACCTGTATCTAACTGTGAGGGTGAGAGGTCATTTTCTGTTTTGAAACGAGTTAAAAATGAGCTGAGGACCACAATGTCTCAGACACGGCTCTCTGCACTTTCTCTCTCTTAGCCATTGAACATGAACTTGTTAGTGGCCTTGATTTCGAAGAGATCATACATCAGTTTGCACAGTCAAAGTCCAGAAAAAAGCCAGTATAAGATGCCAAATGAAAGCAAACATGCACTTCCTCATTATTTAGGATTAAAATTTTGTGTTTTGCCAGATTATATACCATTTATTTTATCTCGTCTTCTTCAGAGAAATTGTATTGTGTAGTGTATTTATGTAGCACTAAAATGTTTGACTGGTTAATTGTGCTATAGCATGTTGTTATATTTTAAAACAAGTTCAATGAGCAGAGGACCAAAATGTTGCTTGATCTGTTGTCTGTGGTCTTCTGTGATAGCTCTATCTATTCCATACATTTCTATTGGGAATAAGTGTTGTTAAATAAACAATGGTTTAAAAGTGGTTGCTTATCTATTCATTTTTTGTGAAAATGGAGGATACTTCCTTCCCTCTCAATGTAGTGGGTCAATGTTACCAGATTATACAGATGCTGATGTGTTTTGTTTTCATAGCATCATATGTGAGTGAATGTCTTTGATAGGGGACATAGTAGTGCATTCGTAGTTCTATGAGCTTTAAATATTTGTAAATGAAAATACACCTAATGACAGTTAGGATTTGAAGTATTGAGTATTTTTACTGTATATTACAGTAATATATCCTATATATGACCATATTATGGTGATCCTGGGGTCGTGATGATGGGGCCCTTGAATATTGTTGCCCAGGGTACAACAAAGTGTTAATCTGGCCCTGTCAAAGCGGCTAAAAACAAATCCAACAGAAGGGGAGTCCTACAGAGGTGTGTGTGTGTGTGTGTGTGTGTGTGTGTGCGTGTATGTGTGTGTGTGTGTGTGTGCGTGTGTGCGTGTGTGCGTGTGTGCGTGTGTGCGTGTGTGCGTGTGTGTGTGTGTGTGTGTGTATGGGTATGCATGTATAAAGCCCTATTCACAAAAACAGCTGTTCAGAGACTTTTGTTTTCATGGCTTCTGTAAATTCCACTTTCTCCTGTTACAGTCTACTACTAGGTCTAGGGCGACATGGCGGCTGAGTGGACTTTTCACCACTTTTGACCTTATCATTTCCTCCAGATGTAGTCAGACTGTACAACGAGGAATGAATCTGCATTCTGTACCCGTTCCCTTCGCCTGTATAAATGTATAATGCTGTAGTAATTTGGATGAGCCAAAAAAAAATCTATTGTAAGTAGGTTTCAATAGTTTTTTTCACCAATACTTCTTATTTATTCTGACTTGTTGATATATCAATATTTAGTAATAGTCAGACAAGCATGAGGCTGAAAAATGTATATTAATTTTATACTTTAGTTTTGAGTTTTTGTCTTTTCTAACACAAGACGTCAACTATAAAGCAAAGAAAAAGATTACAGTGAAAAAAATAGAACAAGAAAAAAACGTGAAAATACTTTTTAACAACCAATGAATCAATGATTTCATTTTAAATAATCCAATGTGTCCACTGACCATTCACAATAGTCATGTTACCTACTGTTTATTCTCCTTATTCTGCCTGAAGCATAACAGTAACAACCATTACTACAAATAATACTTCTAGTCTACAGTTTAATCCAGTAATCGTTTCCTATTCTCTCCCATTACTTACTGTACACCGGAAAATGTATGACTGAGTGGGTGAGCCCAGAAGTGACATCATCATATTTGGCAACCTGATGCAGCGCTTTTGCCGCACAAACTATACAAAGGGCATTTATTAAGCTCGGTTTTAACTGAGCCCGAGATGTGACTCTAAACTCGTACTTTTTATCCAGGTGGTGAAGGATGTCGGCACCCAATGCAGCAACACGGAGAACCTGGATGGATCCACGTCGCCAATTATACAGAGGAAGCTGGAGATAGACAAGGTTTGATGTAAATGTTTTTATACAAAACAAAGTAAAAAAAATGCTCAAATTTGGCAAAAAGTATCTTAATTTTGGTACATTCTGACTAACTTAAAACAAGATTTGCCAATGGGACAAAGCAAAAGGATCTTGTTTTAAAAAGATGCAAGAAATGTCTGTCTTGGAATGAGAATAAATGGTTTGGTCCCATTGGCAAATCTTGTTTTAAGACAGAATATACAAAAATTAAGATAAAAACCACTTGATTCAAGCAATTATTACCTCATAATTTATCATTTTTTGCAGTGTAGTGGACTCGGTTTAATGTTAAAATAAAGTAGCTGACTCGCATTGCATTATTCATTCTCTTCATGGTGGTATTAAACGACTTCAGTTGCCACACATCTATATCTGCCCACATCTTTCACACCAGACTCAGACTTGACAATGTGGGTGATGACGTGTCTTGCCTAAGGACACAATGACAGTTTGGTATTTCTAAGCCTCTGCTGGTCCCATAGGTCTCTGATCACAGTACTTACCATCCTGTGCCCTGCTTAGCTTCTGAGATCTAACTGAATAAATCATACATCTTTGAAGTGTTGGTTGCAAGTTACACATTTCCCAACAGAGACGATGAGGTCTACCTTTAGTTTTTCTATCATCTGTAAACGGTGGCACAAAATATCCTATCTAAAAGTCCAATGTGTGTTGTTTTTGAAATGTACGGCATACATTCAAGGCCAGAAATCCTGACTACTGAGTTTCAACATATTTGGCTTTTATTGTTAGAGTTGAAACTGATAAAATGTATTTCTGGCATACGAGATTGCAAAATATGAAAAATTCCAAATCAAAAGTCTTGAGGGAAATGTTTACCCTGGGCACACAGCAGAACTGGTTTCAGCGAGACAAGTTATGACAGTGAGCTAAAGTCAAACTGGGGACACATGAGAGAGGCCGTTTTCTACTTTACAGTGTCTATTGCTCCATAACCCTTAGACTTTTGGTGGATTAAAACATATATGTATTCATTTGATAGGGCAATGCCCATTAACCCATTAAGCACCAGAGGTTTTCTCCTAAAACGCTACTTTTTTACATGTTTATTTCAAAAGGCTATAACTACAATATGATGAGAGATGAGGCTTTCTGTAAAGTAGAAAAAAACATTAAGGATGGCCCAAAGTTTGTGTAGGGATAAAATTGAGCCATCTAATTTGCATAGTAGGACATGGATTTTAGTGTTTTCGTGATATGTTTGTATTTGTTTTTAACTGGCAGACATGCAAATCACTATAGGGCATGAACAGAACTCACAGGGAAAATAGTAAAAAAAAGTCATCATAAAATCATTACTGCCCCAACTATGAGCAGCCTGCCCAGACCCTGTTTAATACAATCTGCCATTTTAAACAGTATGAAACAGCATTAAACAGCATCAGGATGAAACAAATGTAAATATGCCGGATTATATCTACAAAGCTGTAGCTGTTTCATCTGTAGTCTCTTGGCAATATACATAATTAGCTTACAAAAGGTTTGGGTGGGAAAGAAGCGATTGCATAAGCACTGTGATTTCTCAGGTAAAAATGTCTTATTATTCGCAATTAAACATTATAATTGTTTGACAGCAATAAAATAAAGTTCAGTGTGACATGCTTTGGACATTTTGTCAACTTGCTGCCGCTAAAAACCGCTATTTTTACAGTGGAGAAATGACATCACGAATACATGCCTCGTTTGATTTATAGAGCTCCACAAGCCGCAGTACGCCATTTCAATACTCTATAATAACTGGACATGCAATGGTAAATCTTCAAGGCAAAGTGAATTCCAGGAACCACTTTTCATAAGAGCATATAACGTCTGCGGTTGCGCAGACGTAGATGAGAATAATACGTCTTTACCGCTACTAATGCATGACTCTCTTCAAACCTGCTTTACAACTTGATCGTTTTTACATCTTTCTTCCTTGCCCTGACGTGTTAGCTATAGCGTGACTTCACCTCTTAAAAGCCACACATGACATCCTGCAGCTCCTGGTTTACAAGCCCCACGAGTTGGAACCAGTTGCTGAATGTGAATTTTTTTCTTTCAATTTTCACCTTCATTTTTTTTTCTTTTTCAACACATAAACTAAAAGCAAACCCACACACCGGAAAACGCACGGCGACAGTGTGACACGTATGCAATATTGAACACCTCCCACCCAGAAAAAGGGCTCAGGCGGTCAGACAGCTGCTGTGTGTAAAAATATCTCTCCTCCTTCTTCTTCCAGGTGATGCTTTCAGACAAACAGGCCTCCGACTCCGACAGTGGCCCCACAGGAGACACTCACACTCTGGGTCGGGACAGCACCGACTCTCTCAGTATGTACAAAAAAAAAAAAAAAAAACACTTAAGCTCTCAGTCGTACAGGGATTAGTCGAAACAAAGGAAGGTTTCTCACCCATCATCTGTACTTCAGCTAGCTAGCAGGTTTTCCACAACGTTTCCTTCTCCTCCAAAGAACTTTTTCGCGGCTGAGCTTCCAGTCCCTTGAAAAAGTTTTTGGGAGAAGAACGAAAACCAGGAAACTGAAGAACAGATGATGGGGGAGAAACCTTCCCTTGTTTTGACTTAAGCGGGTTGTTAAGAAAGCTTATTATTAGTGTCTCTTTTATTAGTGCTTAACATTTAACCCTGCACCATGGACAGTTTGCTTTTTGTTTGTGTGGTTCGGCAACATCACAGACAAAGAAAGGAGAGAGCTCTAAACAATTTGCCTGTTCTGGAGACTCTTTGCCATGTTCCAGCTTCTTCCCTCTGGCAGCAGATATTTTAGTTCACACACACAGTTTTTACCTATATTGATTTAGCTATTATCACATTATCATCGTTTAATACTTGTATTTATTCGTGAGGCTGTTACTGATTGGCTCTTTGGTTGCTAGGTTGTTGCTACCCACAAAAATTGCCTCCAGATTCTCACCCATTGACTGTAATTATCACCAAACAGTTTTAAAATTTAAGATTACGCGTTTTCCTTGTTTTATGCTTATGCTGCTCTATTTGAGGATGGAAAGTCTTGCTAACAATTATTCACTTTCCATTCTGATTAATTAGGCCACTTAATGCTGCATTCTTAGTTTTGTTTGTGTCCCACTTTTTCACCCAGCTTTCACAGAGAAACACCATAGATACTGTAAGCCATTTGAAATAAGAAATATGGCACCCTTTCAGAGAGAAAATGCATGTTGACAAAGTACCGTAGACCTGTCTATCTTTACACAAAATAAAGGTGGATAAATGTTTAGCGTTAGCATGTAGCTGTTGTTTCAGTTTGTTTACTGCGGGGCCAGGAAGTGAGGCGCGCACAGATATGGCATCCTTCCTTTCCACTTCCTGTCTTTGTGTCCCGATGACGTCATACAGGAAGTCGCTCAGTCCCGTATCCGTCGCATGTTCAATCAGCGGTGGGAGTAATCTTTAGGACCTCAGATATTTACGTAAGAGTCATCCATAACTGCACTTTACAGACCTCAATACGGTGACAGGGGTTTGACAAGAGAGAGCGGCCCCTGAGTACTTTCTCGGTTCCTGTGAGCTCATTTCAGATCAGAAACTAAAACCATGGCAAATAAACTTGGACATGTTTGGTTATTCTGTTAAAACATTTGTCACACAACTATTAATTATATTTATATTTACAAAATGTTTTACCCTATAAGATAAAGTTAAATAAAAAACAAATGGAAAACAATCTGTTATACACACTTTGAGCTAACTAAAGAGTTTCCAGAGTTTATGAAAACACATATAATAATTCATTAACTGTGAGGACACATTTGTCTGGACATTTGAAACCATATAGAATTTCTGTTATTCTATAAATATATTTCCTTATTAGCATACATCAACAATAATTACTATCACATTGCAGCTATTGCCAAAACATATCTCGTGTGATGTCACCTTTTTTACTGCCAAGAATTAGGATTTAAGTTTTAAAAATGTAAACACTGGAAATGTTGCTACTATTTCCACTCCTAATGTATCCGTCCATGGATGCAACACAAAATATCAGAACAGTTGGACGATTGTTGGATTCCTTACCTCCAAGCAAAACAATGACGACCTCATCAGAAAAGTTGTACGTTTATTGTTTTGTTGTTTGTCTGTTCAGCTTCTCAGAATGTCTTGTAAAGCGCTGTTGGTAGAAAATGCTAAATATTGTCAAAATCATTGTGTCTCCTAAAAGCTAACTGTTACATTTGTTTGTGTGTGTGCGTTTGTGTGTGTGCGTTTGTGTGTGTGTGCGCTGGTCTCACAGACAGAGGGAAGAGAGGCGCCTTCTCTGAGCTCACTGGGTCCATGAGTCGTGCGGCGGGGAGGAAAATTAATCGGATTATCACCTTCTCCAAACGCAGACCGCCCCCCGGAGACCCCCCCTCTTGCGCCGCGGGTCGCCATGACAACCCCCGCTGTGGTGAGAGCCAATCAACGTGCTTCATTAGCACCCACACCTTCACAGTCTGGCATAGGTGTAACTTAAGTGATTATAAAGAGAGATGAGATGATTCACCGGTGGAGAGATACAGTAGCTGCTCGGTAACAGGTTCTCACATGGAAATATATGGATTAAATACAGGCCAGACATAATCTTTTGTTTGTCCTGTTGACCGAATTAGTCCTGACTCTGCTGATTACATTTTGGATTTACTTGCAAATACATTGAACATAAAAACAGCATACAAAACCTTCAAATCAGGTCAGAAATCAAGGTAAGGTTACGTTTATTGTATGCTTATTTGTATATAATTAGACAATTCATGCACAAGCATAGACTGTAAATATTAACGGACGTAGTCACACCTATCTCCGCCGTTCAAACTAATGTGCCCCAACTTCCGCGGTCTATGGAAAAAAAACACATCTGCGCATGCGTCAGCTGCACGAGCCCCATTCATTTAAAAGAGTGATTTAAAAGAGGAAAAAATCCACCCCCCTCAGCATTGACACACATGTGGAACGGAGCTTTGGGCCAAGAGCCGACTTTTGGACCATCCTGTAAAGGCGTTTTCGAGAGGTAAGAAGATGCTATACGATGCTATAATTCTTATTCCGGGTCCACCCCCATCGGCCCGGGGTGTGGTATTGCAAGCATGTCAGCGCACGTCATTTTGGCCACTTTTGAGCCGGGACCCGCCCCCACTGTACACAAGGCAACTCAAAGTGCTGAATAAAACAAGATAAAGACAGTCACACAAGGCATTCAAATGATAATTAATCACCATACCTTAAAAATAGTAAATATGAAATCCCTCAATTGTATGCACAGCGTAGAAGAGCTGTTTTAAATCTAGCGGTAATAATGGACTCAGACTCAAATCCAAACAGCTACATCAAATTAGTATCATCACCAGCTTTTTACAATCAAAAATACATTTCCAGTATCAAAAATATAGTGTCTAAATCCTTGTGTCTGATCTGCGCTATCCAAATAAACTTGCCTTGCCACAGACTAATGTTCTATCCGCACACTAAACTTTAAGCATATCATGTGCAACTCCTACATAACTGTGGTGAGGTTTCTTGAATTCACATCAGTCACAAAGTAATACACAGTTTGCTTGCGGTTTTCACACCGAGGCAGAAATTAAGATTTTTTTGGCCATATTTCAGAGATTATAAATTATAGAGCAAATAAAAAAATTGTTTCCACTCATCGTTTAGTAGTTTTGTGAAGCCAATACAGGAACTGGAGGCTTTTTGCCAAGAAGAATGTGCAGCTTTTGGATCAAAGAAAATTCAGAACCTCATCCACAACGACCACGGAAGACTCCAGGCTGAAGCGCTTTGTCTCACCTTGCTCTGTGATGTGCGCTATATGAATAAATATGACTTACTTTCTGACTTTCACATGCTATTGAGAAGTGGGGGATGGAAACTTCTAATCAGTTGCTTCTGTTATTATCCATTGAAAATTAGAACAAACACGTAATATTTGACAATGAATAGGTTCATAAAGAATGTTTGCATTATGGCCTAAGAATAATCAACATTTCTGGGTGTGTAAACTTCCAAGCTCAACAGGAAGAATTATGTTTGCCTCCAACCCGACACTCCAAAAAATGGGCATAGTGGCTGAGTGGTTAGCTCAAGTTAAAAAGGTTCTGGGTTTGATTCCTGGCTGGAGGTGGAATCTCAACTGAGTTTGCATGTTCTTCCTGTGTCCGTGTTTGTTATTTTTTGCAGTAAAGTCTCTTATTTAAGCAACGCTGCACATGTGTCTTTGCCGTGAAGAGAAATGTATCGATTCCAATTGAAATGCACATGTTTAAATCCTGCGGTGGAAACGACTCAATGACCATAAACATTGTATGAAATCTGGTGCGTTCTGCTTTCAGGTTTGCTCAGTACATGTGTGAACTGCGTGTGGAGAGAGCGCTGGTGCGTCCTGCGTGGAGGAAAACTCTACTTCTACAGAGAGTCGGGCGACAGGGCTCCGGTGCAGGTGGTCCCGCTGAAGGGCTCTGAGGTCGTCCCCGGAGGTCTCGGTCCCAAACATCCCTTCTCCTTCCGCATCCTGCAATCGGGAAGCGAGCTGGCTTCACTGGAGGTACTAAAACACTCCTGAACAAATATGAAAGTGATATTCAGTGTGTGATACCATCCACGTACAAAAGAGCGCGACACTCACACTGTCAAAAATGATAAAATATGAAGTAATAATAGCTTGAATCGAGTGGTTTTTATCTTAAATTTGAGCACATCCTGACTGTTTAAAACAAGATTTTCCAATGAGACAAAGCCATTTAGTCTTATTTCAAAAACTGTTCAAGATCATTTTGTTAATCCTGTTGGCAAATTGTGTTTTAAGGCAGTCAGATTGTGCCTATATTAAGATTCATTCATTCATTCATTCGATTCATTCATTCATTTACATCCCTTTATTATCCATAAAGGGATGTAAATAAAGGGGGGTGGCATTCAGAGCGGCCACCCAATTCACAATGCACCAGTCCCTCGCTGATCCTCCTACGGGTCGTGGGTCCACAGGAAGATGGCTGACCCTTCAACACAGATATGGCCTTGATCTTTCAGCGGGGACTATAGGCAAAGTGGGGTAAAGTGTCTTGCCCAGGGACTCAACAACAGCAGACATCAGTGGGAACAAATGACATGGGTCATGGTGGAATCGAACCCATTAGGTCCAAAGACCAACGCTCTACCAACTGAGCTACTGTCGTCCCCTATATTAAGATACTTTTTGCCAAATTTGAGATATTCCTGACTATCTTTCCCATCACTTTTTGCAGTGCAGGACTTTCAAACACATGTTTATTGGACAATCAATCTTGTAACCATCATGTATGCTTTTGTGTTTGTTATTCTATTGTTGTAAATGAGCTGTATTCTGTTCTATTCACATCCAACAGGAATGCTGACCAGGACACAAAAAAGCAGGCTTGCTTTTTATTTTAAGAGTCTAGGATCATAGGTCAGATGGACATATATGGTAAAGGTAAATGTTAGTATATAACCCACTTTAGTTTTCTATTCTGGGTCTTCTGGCGTTGAGCCTGAATCAGAGAGGAGACCCAGGCAGAAGAGCTCTTTGCCTGAATTGAACTGAATGTATTCTGATTATGTCATTAAACTCCTTTTAATCATAACTCAGAGTTCATTCCTTCTCCATCACTATCCATGTGTGCGAGAAACCCTGTCTTCAAAGATCAGGAGACACTACACTATGTTTTAATGACCTGTCTTAAACACATTTTTAAAGTTGTTCCTTGCTGATTCTGGAAGGTCTAAGGACCAATGGCTCTATGTGTTTTTATCGTTGCATTTCTTGTTCAATTCTCTGATCTGTGTTGGTAAATCATCAACTTTGTAAAGTCCTCTGAACTACTGTTGTGATTTAGGGCTACAAAGTGATTGATTCGCCATCAATGATAAAAGACACATAGGAGCCATTGGTCGGTAATGGGCAGATGACCAAAGTCCATAAATGTTAATAAATATCCGCACGTCCTGGATCATCAGCACTGTCCTTAGACCCATCGGCAAGAACCCACTCATCCTTCATCACAGACCCTAACCCTCACACCTCCCACTGTGTCCCCTCAGGCCAGCTGCTCCGAGGACCTGGGGAGATGGCTCGGGGTGCTGTTTGCGGAGACGGGACGCTCCACTCTGCCCGAGGAGCTCCACTACGACTACATCGACGTGGACACGCTGACGGACATACGGCACGCGGCACGCCACTCCTTCCTGTGAGCCCCCTCCTCACACAATAACAGTATTTAGTATATTACAGTAGTATTAAGTATTTGGTTCTTTTAGGATACACTTATTAACATCTGGAAAGCTGCTATTTTGCGCATGTATTGTTGTAGAGCAATTATTATCAATTTGTTGCGTTTATGTGGCATCACGACATCTCAACAAGCGTATACTTTAACATTGTGGTGAAGGGAATATGTAAAATCTTTAATGGTAACTTTGGTACCTGTCCCTGTAATTCTTGAGCCAATTTACATAAAAGGTCTTTGTCAGTGCATAACAACTATGGTTCACCCCATCTATCTATTCTATCTATCTAACAACTTTTATCTATCTATCTATTCCCCAACTGATTATAAGTCAGTGTTTTATTGACCATACATCGATCTGTGTCATTCATAAAACAATTATTTCTCCATCTTCTCCAAAACCTATACTTTTTAAAGCTGCTACATGTTTGAAAGGCAAGTTTTAAGTTTATTAATTTTAGATGTCCAGTTTTTTGTGTCCGTGCCATAGTAAAGTGACATTGTATTGTGTTGTCAACAGTGGCGTTCTTTTTAGTCCTTCTCTGTCTTATGGTTAAACAAATGCAATTCCAGCACCATAACCCACAGAATCCAGTTTAAACTCCTCCTTCTCACATTCAAAGCTCTCCATTACCTGCCCCCTCATACCTGAGTGACCTGCTCCACCCGTTCACCCCGTCCCGCTCTCTCCTCCCCTCATCTGCTGCTCTCCTCACTGTCAAAATGGCCACGATGGGTAACCTGGCAAAAGCCAGATTGATGATTGTGTAGAACTCTAACGCGTTCTCCGCGATATCAATCTGGGATTTCTCCCGGAGAATCCTTTCGGGGAAAGGAGGGGTAAGCAGCAGAATACTTGAAGCTGATTGGGCGAAGTGACGCTGTGTGCCCGCCTACCAAGGTTGCCGTCCAGAAATGTACAAAGCGCCTCTCGCTGTTCATCTTTCAAAAAAGAAATTGGAGATTCTGCTAAAACTGACTTTAAGTAAGTAAGTAAGTAAGCTTTATTTATATACCGCCTTTCACAGACCAGAGTCACAAAGTGGTTTACAATTGTTATTTTTTTGGGCATTTGTCTCTCACTCCACACAGAGATGGGAGCGGGGTCGCCGAACAGGAGGCACATGCCAGACCTATTGTACATATTTTTAGTGGTAGGGGAAACCGGAGTACCCGGAGGAAACCTACGCAGACACAGGGAGAACATGCAAACTCCACTCAGAAAGGCCCTGGTCCGGCCGGGATTCGAACCCAGGACCTTCTTGCTGAGAGGCGAGAGTGCTATCCACTCAGCCACCGTGCCGCCGTCCTCCTGCGTAGCCATGTTTGTTTTGCTTCGGCCCGGCACTTCTTGCTTTCGTCAAACCCGGATATCCCGCCCTAAACCCCCAGACTGGCGCGTGATTGGCTCGCACACCCAGTGGTTCGACTCGAAAAGTGTAAGCGGGAGCGGTACAAGATGTATTCTCGAGTGTTTGTGAACTCACAAATACCGCGAGAATTCAGCTTGCAGGCAAGGTTACACGATGGGGGCCAGAGGACATTTTCAAATCACATCTCAAAACCTAGCTTTTTAAACTGGCTTCTTCTTTGTAATTTTATAATGTTTTATAGTTTGTACTTTTAATTATGTGTGTGATGTTTGTTATATATTGTAAGGCGTCCTTGGGTGTCTTGAAAGGCGCTATGAAATAAAATGAATTATTATTATTATTATATTTTATCATTTTAAAGCTGGCGTATCCAACTTTCAAACCACAGTGCATTGAAAAATGTAATAAAAATCAAACTAGCAAAAGATATTAAAAAAATGATCAGACAAAGAAAGCAAATGGTCAGATTTGTTCACACTGTTCAAGATTATTCCACAACAAAACGTTTATTCATGAAACAAAAAGTCAGATACCCCAGCTTTAAATAAGAGATTAAGATGAAGAGATCCTTTATTTGTCTCACTGAACTAATGAACAATACAGTAACTCTATAGTAAAAGAAAATAAAATCTCTGACTTTAGCATAATAAAGAATATTGAAGGAGTAGTGACAATAAGGAGCGCCTATTTCTTTCAAAACACACCTTTTTTTTTTTAAATGTTTTATTTTGAGTCAATTCTACATGTAGTCCAATCCACAAACAAGTATAAATTCTTAGTTTTTATTAATACCCGGATGGCAGAGTCCTTCCCTCTATCCTGCAGTGTTTTTGGCTGTTGTGACCATTTGTTCCCGTGTTAGAATTGGGGAAAGTGGAGCATAATGAATGTTGTCTCTGGGAGAGTCCGTCCGCACCTCTGTAATCGTGACGGGAGCTCGTGTTACGGCTCAAATTGATGTTGTGTCTGATCCGGTCTCAGGTGGGCGACCAACGCTGCAGCCTCATCGAGCAGCGCGTCCACGGACTCGCGCACGTACGACGAGGTCTACGAGAGCGTCGAGGTACAAGGCAGAAGCAACACACACAATCAAGACCCTGTTAAAGTGCTGTATCTGTACCGGTTTGAATATGGAAGTACCGTTTATATAACATTTATGGACATTTAACAACATTTATGGACATTGGTCTCTGCCCCTTATGGACCGATGGCTCTATGTGTGTTTTTTATCATTGCATTTCTTGAGTTTGAACTGATTCTCTGATCTGTGTTGGCGAATTCAACGGTTTTGTAAAGTCCTCCGAAATAACCACTGTTGTGATTTAGGGCGAAACAAGAATACATTGAATTGCATTTAGTGGAAGTTTAGCTGTGCTCCTAGCTTTTACACGCCATGGCAGAATAGTAGGTTGCATACCGATCCATACACTTTTAACTTTTGCCATGCTAGTGTAGAAAAATGAGACTCGAGGCAGGGTTGGAAAAATCAGAGCACAATTGGCCTGGTAGTTTTAATTTCAGTTTTTCAGATTGAATAGAATACTAAATGACAGAATGTTTGTAATATGACGGTTTGCATCATTTCAAAGACGCCAACCCTTGAGATATTAAACTAGTCCAAACAACAATAATAATTTCAATCTTGTGAGTGTACTTGGAGAGATACTTGGAATTAGAAAATCTGAAGAAAATGACAAAAGATGCAGAGGTCTGGGATCATGTCAAAGCCAAAGACACGTTATATTGTTGATTACATAAACGACACGATCAGCTAAACAGGGCAGGGCCTGGTTAGTACTGTGATGGGAGACCTCTGGGAACACCAGGGGCCACAGTGGGGCGGCTGCGGCTGTAAAGTGCCAAACTGCTGTTGCGTCCGTTGGCAAGACACTTCACCCACATTGCCTAAAATGAGTCTGGTGAGTGTGTGAATGGTTGGTGGTGGTCGGAGGGGCCGATGGCACATACTGGTTGCCTCGCTTCTGTCTGTTTGCCCAGGGCGGCTGTGGCTACTGTAGTAATTTATCACCACCGTGTATAGAGTGAAAGAATAATGTCATGTGAAGCGTGTAAAAAAGCACTATATAAAACCGATGCATTATTATTATTTGTATTGGTGACAAGACCACTGTGATGAAACCTAACATAATAAAAACATAATAACTATCATTTACATTATTTACAAACATTATTCATTCTTAATGTCATTCCTAGTGTCCTCTGAACAGGAGCCAACACTCTTGAGATTGAAGAGTGTTCTCAGACGGCAGTTCCAACATGTTCTTCCCATAATTTTGACAGATAAAACCTTGAAACTTCACATAATCAAATACACAGGGCCCGCAGGAACACCTTTTGAAACGACGTACAAACTAATGAGGGCAGGCATCAACTTTCCCGAAACAGTTTCTGATCTAACTTTTCTTGTCAGACGCGTCGGGAAACTTGCGATTTGACGTTTCTCTGAATCATTCATCCTTGTTACTGGTGAAAAGCAGCTTGAGTGGAGTTGACAGAGTGATTAGGGAGGAGCTCTCTGGGGCTGTGCTGGCTCTAGTTAATTGTTATGTAAAGTGTTTGTGTGTTGTTTTTTTCCCCGCAGGACGCAGATAGAAGCGCTCAGGTGCGACGCACGGCCTCCTTCTCCTCCAGAGACTCGGAGAAGACAGAGCAGCAGGCGGCCATCAAGAGACACGCCTCCAGTAAGACTAAAACACATTCAGCTACTCCACTTTCTGGATTATAAGGCACAAATTAATCAATTAATTAATGTACCTGCCTTAAAAATAATGATAATAGAAAATATATATATAATAAAATAAAAACAGGGGGAAAAAAATATATTGTTCGAGCAAATTGTGTTTTGGGTTTGAAATCAGTAATATGTATTTTAAATGTTTTACATAGTTGTTTAAGTAGCTAATGACCTGGGCTAACAAAAGCAAGTAGCTTCAGCCCATTCCTTTTCTGGTTGTAATACAGTCAAGTGAATCTGTTATTAATCAATAAGAAAAAAAAAAACCAAAAACATTAATTCACACTTGTATTTAAGCCGCACTAGCAACTTTTAAAAATAAAGTATGATTTGTCCACATATAAGCCGCACTTGAATAAGTAGTAAGTTCTCATGTTATAATGTAGCAGATGGACTGTTTTAACTGGTGGCCTCCATCACTCAGTCTATTTTGACAATAAACGAGTGTCCTAAAGTTACTAAAACTTGATATCTAAATAATAAGTCCATAGACTCTGCTCTGACAACTCTACCGCAATGAAAATACACATATAAGCCGCATCACGGTATAAGCCTCAGGGATCAAAGTACTAGAATAAAGTAGCGGTGTGAAGTCTGGAAATTATGGTAATTTGCAATTGGGAATTACAATCTCAGTATAGTTTGGGATTATATTGTTCTAATGGCCCACAGTTAAGTTGACTTAGTAATAAAAGACCAAAAATATTTATATTTAAGGTTCCAATCCAAACATCCAATGAAAGCAAAAGTCAACTCTAATTTTTGAAATGTATAAAAATAATAATAATAAATCGGTTTTATATAGTGCTTTTTAGACACTCAAAGACGCTTCACATGTCATTATTCTTTCACTCTAAACACGGTGGTGATAAACTAATCCTGTAGCCCCTCCCACCCTAAACAACTCATGCACACACACCAGACTCATTCTAGGCAATGTGGGTGAAGTGTCTTGCCTCAGGACACGACAACATTTTGGAACTTTACAGCCGCAGCCGCCCCACAGCTTCTTCCAGAGGACAAACCAAATGTAGGTATCCCAGCTTTAACTGGCCCTCATTGACACTTGGTCTTTCTCGGTGTGCAGACGTGAACCAGTACGGCCGCTACGGTAAGATGCGAGCAGAGGAGGACGCCCGGCGCTACCTCCTGCAGAAGGAGGAGCTGGAGAAGCAGAAGGAGGCTCTGAAACACACTCTGCTCTCACTGCGGAGGCTCAAGAAGGAGGTCAAGGAGCAGCTGAAGACAGGCCCCGGTTAGAATACTCTCCTCACACTCACACACACACACAGATACACACATGCACACACACACAAACACACACACCCAAACAGACACACCCAAACAGACACAACCAAACAGACACACCCAAACAGACACACCCAAACAGACACAACCAAACAGACACACCCAAACAGACACACCCAAACACACACACCCAAACAGACACACCCAAACAGACACACCCAAACAGACACACCCAAACAGACACACCCAAACAGACACACCCAAACACACACACCCAAACAGACACAACCAAACAGACACACCCAAACACACACACCCAAACAGACACAACCAAACACACACACCCAAACAGACACACCCAAACAGACACACCCAAACAGACACAACCAAACAGACACACCCAAACACACACACCCAAACAGACACAACCAAACACACACACCCAAACAGACACACCCAAACAGACACACCCAAACAGACACACCCAAACAGACACACCCAAACAGACACACCCAAACACACACACCCAAACAGACACAACCAAACAGACACACCCAAACACACACACCCAAACAGACACAACCAAACACACACACCCAAACAGACACACCCAAACAGACACACCCAAACACACACACCCAAACAGACACAACCAAACAGACACACCCAAACACACACACCCAAACAGACACAACCAAACACACACACCCAAACAGACACACCCAAACAGACACACCCAAACACACACACCCAAACAGGCACACCCAAACAGACACACCCAAACACACACACCCAAACAGACACAACCAAACAGACACACCCAAACACACACACCCAAACAGACACAACCAAACAGACACAACCAAACACACACACCCAAACAGACACACCCAAACAGACACACCCAAACACACACACCCAAACAGGCACACCCAAACAGACACAACCAAACACACCTAAACGCACACACCCAGAACTTTTTGCATGTTTATTTTTTTCTGCAATCAAGCCGCTATTTCTGGGTTCTTCATCGTATAAGAAACATTTTTATCTTTGTAAACGTGTAAAGCAGGAAAGAGCCCCGTTCGTCTCTGATCGTCCGAGTCGGGGGTTCCTCTCTGCTTCACTTTTCTGTCTGAAAAAGATGATCTAGAGATGAGGCCATGAATAAAACTGTTTTGAGAGCTAGGAACTGTTTTGATGGATTGTATTACATTATTGACAGGCATTTTGGCACAAATGTAACCCCTGTGAAAGAAAACAGCAGTGATTTGTCATTGTTGTTATATAATTATGTTAAAAATATTAAACGAAGGACGACAGCTTTCTTATGGGAGATGTAAGATTCACAGTAATTGGCGTTTTGCTAATTCTATAAACGCTTCTGTCTTATTTTCATACAACACGGTTATTATTCACACTCTCAGATTTCTAAGTTCATTTACCCTCGTTTTTAAAATCCTAAATATCGTCAGTAATGTATAATATGCTCTGGGACAGCTGCAGCCGAGTTAAAAAACGTTCTAAAATAATTATGAGTAAAAATGCTGACGACCGAAGACAAGTTTTGGGAAATAATTGGAAAACGTGTATTTAATAATTTGTCAGTTTAACGAGATAACGAGATTTTTGCGAACAGAAAGTACGAGTATAAGTCATTAGCTGTTGTCAGTGCTACGGAAAACACATGAAATAGTATATAACTATAACATGTGGAGAGAAATACACACATATATTTATACACATGGGACTTGAACACATTGAATATACTGTATAGTGCAATATGGGTCTCTTATGTTAAAGCTGGGGTACCTAACTTTCAGAAATCTAGATAGAAAATCCCCCTACATAAGAGTAAAATTAGACCATATTAGATAACGTCTTATATTTAGCATACCGGTACTTGTATGAAAGATCCCTGTGAGTCGCTATTTGACTCTTTGGGCTGAGAGCTGATTGGCCGAGAGAGAGTGGTCCTCCCCTTTAAAATATGTTTATGTAAAAAGCTGATAAAGACGTGACAGCGGCCAGAGACAGATGCATGTGAGACTAATGATAGAAGCAACTTGTTTTTTCAATGTTAAAGCTGCACTAACTGACTTTGGGATTTTGAAGCCGCGGACTCGCTGGCCTCGCTCTTTCTGCTCCCCTCCCCGCACCAACGAAGCTATCGCCCCCCACACACACTCACTGTTGGGACGGAGCTAGCGTCTCCCAATATGGATAATACATGGATATGGATTTGCACGTGGATGGCGTGACCATAGAACGATAGAACCGGGAAGCGCGGAGGAACGAGACTTTCTTTTGGATGGCTGTTCCGCTGTGTAAGCAGTAACCGGTGATGAAGACACACAAAGCTTCAGGTTAGCTCCTCGGCTTGTTGTGCTAACTCAGCCGTCTGTGCTAACGGACCTGTAGATTTCTCACGGAAGTGGGGGCCAGTGGTTCGCTGTGATTGGTCACAATCTGCGACCCGAAACACATTCTCTTCCTTGTTTCATCAAAACTCGATCGAAAATATAATGTCACGCCAGCACAAACCTGCGCTACTTTTTCTTCAAAAGGACGTATATCCCAATGCACTACATGGACATGGATAGCATTTTCGTAATGAATACAAAAATAAAGTCAGTTAGTGCAGCTTTAATTTAGTTATTTATTTCCTGGTTTGAAAAAGAAAAGAATAGCTTTAATTCTTGGGCAGTTTTCCCTCCAGTTTAAGTGTTGAGAAATCAAAAATAGGTGTTTTTTTTTAAAATATGATCTTATCTGTGGCTATATGACTCTTTGGGCTGAGAGCTGATTGGCTGATGCAGAATGAACCTAGGAACTACTTTTAAATTTTACAACGTTGGTCAATTTTGTCGTGAAGTTAAAGTTAGGTACCCCAGCTTTAAGGAGGTTCCATCCATCTCTCCCCAAGACGAGAATGTTCCAATCCAGGTTAGCCGTGCAGACCATTGAGGGATTTTCTAATACTCTTTATAATGTACTGTGATTATGTATGTACTGTTTTGTTCAGCACTTCACAGTTGGCCTGTGTATGAACTGTGCTGTACAAGAATTTGACAATAATTTGATAATGTTGTGGTTGGCTGACTGACAGTTCCCACGTTGGAGCAGCGTCTGTCCGATGTGGAGACTCAGCTGAAGCAGAAGGAGGAGGAGCGAGTGGAGCTGGAGCTGAAACTCACACAAGTCAAAGAGAATCTGGAGAAGTCATTGGCTCGTGGATCTTTAGCCCCGCCCACCGACAGCAAGACGACCGCCAAGGTACCGGCCGCACACTTCAAGTTCAGTTGTTCATTTCAAACCTGCACAAACACCAGACACATGTTTGACAAGAGGCTGGATGAGCAAAGAGCCCTTTAGAACACTTTACAATACAGTACAATCACATAAATGCATTAAAAACACAACAAAACAATAAAACAGTTCAAATGCCATTGAAGCATTTATGTCAGATGTGTACATTTCTCCACTGTGAGATCAATAGAGTTTTATTTTACCTCATCAGCTTCTTCCCCTTTGAAAACTAGAGCATGTTTTGTTGTTTGACTAAAGTTCTACCTGACTTTGTTGTTGTGTTTCTCGTTTCCAGACTCAGGGCAGAAAACCAGAGCGGCTCTACACCGAGTCTCCACCGGTGAACGCCGCCTCGGAACTTCGGAAACGCCCGCCGTCCATGTACTCCTCGTCCAAGGGCAGCGTGATGCAGAAGGCCAAGGTAACGAGAGAGAGAGAGAGAGAGAGAGACAGAGAGAGAGACAGATAGAGAGACAGACGGAGAGAGACAGAGAGAGAGAGAGAGAGATAGAGAGACAGAGAGACAGAGACAGAGAGAGAGACAGATAGAGAGACAGAGGGAGAGAGACAGACAGAGAAAGAGAGAGACAGATAGAGAGATACAGGGAGACAGAAAGAGAGACAGATAGAGAGAGAGAGAGAGTCTGAGTCTGATTCTGATTCTGATTCTGATTCTGAGAAAGAGAGACAGACAAACAGACAGACTGGGAGAAAGAGAGACAGAGACTCCAGACACAGTGTGACCTTCATGCTCGGGACATCAGGACCAAATCCTTATTCATGGCTTATTCTAATGAGATGCAGATTCTGGATTCTGCAGAGTCAGAATCAGAGTTAAGTTAAGGACACAATATGATACAGTCCAGAGATAAACGAAAAGTAAATAGCATTAAGAAAAAGTTGTTGTTGTCTGAAATATGTTTTTCTACCACCTGAGATCTAATGGACTGTCACCTCCTACCACTAAAGTCGTTGTGCCTCTGGGCAAGACACTTAACCCCACTTTGCCTGAAGCCTTAACTGAAAGAACAAGGCCACAGGAGAAGGAGAAGCCAGGCTCTTTGGGACCTACACCGCAAAAAAGGATAAATGATTTTTTTCATTTTTTCATTTATTTATTTATTTAATATGGACATAGCAATTAACATTGGACGAACCAGATGCATTGTTTAAAGTGTTATAGCACAAGTGCTAATTTTCAACACCTGTCCATAGGGGGCTTTTAGGTTACAAAGATAAAACACATTAGGAAACAAGGTTACAATAAAACACATTATTAAACAAGATAAGACATGTTTTAAACATGGGAACAAGTTTGGCCCGATTTGAGCCACTGTTTAAGCTCTCTGGTAAAGATGTTGATATTATTCTGCAGTTTCAGTGCAGTGGGGAGAGAGTTCCACAGTGTAGCCCCTCTAAAGGAGAAGCTCGACTGTCCAAAAGATTCTCTAAACTTTGGGAGCTTTAATAGCTTGTTTTTTATCTTAACCTGAGTACCTTAACCTTAATTCTGACTATCTTAAAACTACATTTGCCTCCTTCTTAAAACAAGATCATTTTGCTTTGTCCCGTTGGAAAATCTTGTTTTAAAGCAGTCAAAACGTGCAGAAATTTGAACACTTTTAGACCTATTCTTTGTGGCTTTTTGCAGTGTAGAAATAGACACTGAAAATGAATGAATGAAGTCCTGTCCCTGCAGAAACTCTCTGTAAAAACACAGTGATAAGAAACATACACAGTACATTATAAACATTTTAATAAAGCAGTATTTATGCGAAAATGTAGCAGAACTGATTTATTTTTATTTTTTTCAGGAATGGGAGTCCAAGAAGAGCACCTGATGAAGGGCTGCGAGATCGAAAAGACAAAACTGAAATATTAACCGGTTTAAAGAGAAAGAGAAGAAAAGTCGAGACGGATTTATAACCAAAGCAAAAGTGACGTTTGGTGCGATTCACTGTAAAAAAAAAAAAAAAAAAATCAAACCAGTGTTTTTTTTTGAATGTGTGTTTACAAAGGAAAGCTTTTGAATGTCTGTGTTGTTATTTCAAGCCAAAGGGAGAGAAGACTTTTACGCAACTCAAATTGATGGACATTTTGTTTTTCTATGATCAGTATTGAGTGAAGTATCCCGTGTTGTGAACCTCTGAAAGCACATAAAGTTTGACACTGAATAGGAAATTATAAATGTATATTATTAGAACGTGAGCTACTGTTGCTGCGTGTGTTTCATAGTTGACTTTTTGCACTTTATCCTGTCCAATTTTTACTTAAATTAAAAAAAAGTTTATGTCCACCTCGCTGACTACGTCTTTTTGAACATATTTGTGAACACATTTGAATATTGTCAAAGAAGCTTCTGAATCCTGGGTACTTTCTATACAATGACCTGGGCTCCTCCACACACGTTTTTCAACATTATTCTAACAATTACTAACCGTATTTTTCGGTTAAGGTGCACCTGATTATAAGGTGCAGTGGATTATAAGGTGCATGGTTGAAATGAAAGACTTTTATGAGTGCCTGATATTGTGTGCGAAAAATACGGTATTTATTTTAGATGAAAATATCCTTTATGCGTCCCACTGTGGGGAAATTTCAGTGTTGCATCACAAGTTACAGAACAGAAGGAATGAGGAGCACACAGCACAGGATAAGGGGATTTTAAGTATTGCGTCCCACTGCAAAAAGTCAAATTTGGTAAAATCTCTTGATTTGAACAGCCTTAAAACAAGATTTACCAATGGGACAAATCTTGAAATGAGACAAAACCTGCTTGTCCCATTGGCAAATCTTGTTTTAGGATTTTTAGTCTGAATGACAATATTAGGAATAACTATTGGCCATTGCAAATTACAACACTTTTTAAAAACTTTATTGTGTTGTTTTCATTCGTTTACATGTTTTTCACGTTACACATACAATAGTAGTATAGTAAGACATTTTTTTGAAATACTTTTCCCCCACTTTTTTTCCCTTGTGTTAGGAAAAATAAAAAATAAAATTAGATGTAGTCACAAAAAGGAGGAAGAAAAAATTCAACCAAAATAGATTATGCTATTTCTATATAAATGTCTGTAGTGTGACATCATAAAACTTCATGTTTTATAAAGATCTTAAAGAGCCGCAAAAATGTAAACAAATCACTGATACTGCGTTATGTGAGACTGAGAGTAACTGAGTCTGCGGTTGTTTGTGGTTGTGATGGTGGGAGATAAAATGTACTTTTCTTTTGGCGTGCTTTGAACTTGAAGTAATTAGACACCAGAGAAACTTGACTTTGTCCTTGCTGAATATATTTTTACCAAAGTCTGTGGGAGTGATTTAATGAGGCTGGAAAGATAACAAGGTCCGTCCGCTCCAACTTTAAATTACATAAGAGATACCATTCAAACTTGGACCATTTTGGAGGAAATCTTTCCTTTTCTGATCGGGCTAAAAAAAACGGATTTTTTTACATTCAAAATGAAACGAATGGATTTTCTCAAAACAAGCAGGTGACGTTTTAACAATAAACTAAATGGTGTTCTTTTGTGTTGGATAAGATACAGACTTATCCCACACACAACGAGAATGAGTTTATACAGTAAATAACCCATATTTACAAAGAATGTTGATTGATTGTTGGTTGATTCTTCACTTGGTTGTCCTTAAACGAATGTGGGACCTCTAAAACCCGGCCTCTTTTACCTGGACCTGTGAGCTGGTCGCCTCCTGGATGCTCCTCAGTCCTCGTTCTACAGCCTGACTCCTGGATCTCTCTCATTGTGGGCCTCACCAAAGAGTCTCACTTTGTTTCCCAATTGTTTTTTTTTTTTGTCGTTTCTTGCTGATGCAGGAGGGTCTAAGTAAGGACAGTAATGATCAGGGACATTTAAAGGTATATAGGTGGATTTTCTTCTTCCGGGTGGATCATCAAGACTATTGGTCCTCCCAATCGTCAATCATTCTGGTGATACTTTCTCGTCAAATAAGACCAGAGAGTTTTATTCAAAAAGTGGAGAGGGTTCTTTCCTAAAATTTGGGAAAATCCTCATATATATCTTTGGGGACATTTATAAACATTGTTCATTCTGCTCCCTATGGACCAGTGGCTGCTATGTGTTTGTTAGTGGTAGTAAACCGGAGCACCTGGAGGAAATCGACAACTCATTTGATATGTTTGAGTCCGGCTTTAGACCCCACCACAGCACTGAGACTGCTCTCGTCAAGGTTACAAATGATATCCGGCTGAACACTGACGCAGGCAAAGTCTCAATCTTAATCTTGTTAGATCTGAGTGCTGCCTTTGACACTGTCGACCATGAGATCCTCTTACAGAGACTAGAGGACTGGGTTGGCGTCGCTGGCACCGCCCTAAGTTGGTTTAGGTCTTACTTTGAAGACAGGAAGTACTTTGTGGAGATTGGAAACTATGTCTCAGATCTAATGGCCCTGACCTGTGGAGTCCCACAGGGGTCGATCGTGGGACCTCTTCTGTTCAATCTCTACATGCTGCCGTTAGGTCAGTTAATACGCAGAAACAAAGTGTCCTATCATAACTATGCAGACGACACTCAGATCTATGTCTCACTGACTGCAGGAGAACATGGACCAGTGGACTCACTCCTTCACTGTATCCAACAGATCAGTGAGTGGATGCAAAACAACTTCCTTCAGCTAAACGCAGACAAAACTGAAATGATTGTCTTTGGTCCCCAGAAACAAAGAGAGAGCGTCATCTGTCACCTACAGTCTCTCTCCCTAAAACCTTCAAACAAGGTCAGAAATCTAGGGGTAATACTGGACTCAGACTTAAATTTTAATAGCCACATCAAATCAGTAACATCAGCAGCTTTTTACCATCTAAAAAACATTGCCAGGATCAAAAACATAGTGTCTAAAGCAGACTTGGAGATTCTTATCCATGCATTTGTCTCCAGTAGGTTAGACTACTGCAATGGCCTGCTCACAGGTCTGTCCAAACAGGCTGTAAAACAGCTGCAGTACATTCAAAATGCAGCGGCTCGAGTCCTGACTAGAACCAGGAAGTACGACCACATTAGTCCAGTCCTCAGGTCCCTGCACTGGCTTCCTGTGGCTCAGAGAATAGACTTTAAAACAGCTCTGCTTGTGTACAAGTCTCTCCATGGCCTCGCACCAAAATATATTAGTGACATGTTAGTCCCATATGAACCAGCCCGGACTCTGAGGAGCACAGGGACTGGACTCCTGTTAGTGCCCAGAGTCAGAACTAAACATGGGGAGGCTGCTTTTCAGATTCATGCTGCTAAAATCTGGAACAATCTTCCTGAAGATGTGAGACAGGCCTCCTCTCTGACAATGTTTAAAACCAAGTTAAAAACGGTAATGTTTAGCTGTGCATACAACTGAGGGATTTTATATTTTTATCTTTCGTTTTAATGTTCTGTGATTATTTATGATTTTAATGCTATCTTGTTCAGCACTTTGAGTTGCCTTGTGTATGAATTGTGCTATACAAATAAACTTGCCTTGCCTTGCCTTACGCAGAAACAGGGAGAACATGCAAACTCCTCACAGAAAACCCCGGAGGTGGAATCAAACCCAGGACCTTCTTGCCATGAAGCACAAGCGCTAACCACTGCGCCACAAATAGTAATTATTACATTTGCTGTGTTCAAGCTGTTTTTATTCTCTGATCTATCGTTTGGCGAATCGACAACTTAGACTATTGTTGTGATTTAGGTCTATATAAAAGACAAATGAATGTAATGGATTCAAAAGTACACATAAGAGAATTCACTGCACATTGTTGCCAGTACCATTGGTTTTACCGTAACACAGAGTCAGAGGGAGTCCCTTCAGGATCCTGGCCTACTTTAGTTTAGACTCAGACTCCTCCTTATGGACTTATGAAGCAGGACGTGAAAGGTATGTATGTATGCACAACCTGACCTAAAAACATAACAGAATTAATATATATTTGACTGAGTTTGTTTGTTAATCAATGCTCCAGATTTCATATATATTTACGTGTCGACATTTTTATTTATTTTTTCAGGTGAAACTTCATTCAAAAGTTTATTTATTTATTGCAATTCAACCTAAAATGTGAGACCAATCTGTGACATAGACTCTTTACATAGTGACTTAATCCAAGCCTCGGGTATAATCTTAATAATTATGGCTAACACTACCTTTTTACAATATTCAAATTCTCTTTAAAGCCGTGAGCCAATTATCAACATGACAACAAACAGACTGGATTTATCTGACGTTGCGTGTAATGAGTCTTTTGTAAATTAGTTTCACATTGTAACTTGGATTACTTCTGTTATTCAACTTGAAATGGACTTCTGAATGTATTTGTCCAACTCTGGTCTGTGAGAGGCGCTATAAAGATAAAGATTACTTACTCGCTTTTCTAAGTTTCACCTGTAACTGGGTCCCGCCCCTCACTTTGAGAACCAATGAGGTAAATGTACAACTTTTATATTGTATTAGACATAATCAAAGCAAAGAAATGATCAGAACTCATTAGAAAAGTTGACACCTTTGAACAAATTGAAGGAAAAATCTGGATATGAGATCATTTTTGATTTTTTAATTGCAACTTGAATAATTCCTCTTTTACCGAGTACAAATAAGGATTAGGGGTAAATAATAAAGTACAATTCTCGAGATCACGTATCCTAAGTATGTCTTCAAATGTCTCTCGCTTCAATAAAATTTGTGTCTGTGACCCAGAACTGTTTTTATGTCCTTTAATGTCAAGCCGCGGATGTGTGTTGACCTAGCATTAGCCGCACTGCTAGCTATTTCATTCAACTTTTTATTTTTATTAAGTCTGCTTATATTCTCAGTATCTCGATATACTTTCACGGTGCCTCAACAAACCAATCTCAAGATCTGTACTTTATTCTTCACACTTAACCCTTTTTATTTTACCTCTACTATGCCCCCTGCTGGTACTCTTTATATACGAGTGTCCATCTTAAACAAGGCATCTTAAAAAAAAAAAATCTTGAATTATGAAAACATGAAAAATACTGCTGCTAAACCTGGTTTTGTCGTGACTCACCTTTTCCCTTCTGTGGGACTAATAAAAGCATAATTCATGTATTCATTATATCTTGAGTGGTCATAATGTTCTGGTCAATCAAGAAAAAAATCCACACCTTCTCATTTCTTTACAAACAATTTATTTAGTGCATTTCTAAATGTCCACAGCATGAACCGAAAATGTTAAACTGGTGAATGTAACTGTGCTCCTAAGTTTTTACCACCAAAGAGGTTTCAGGTCCGATAGCATTGGTCCCCTCTTTGTCGTCATGGCGCCTTTTACTGTGAGTACGTTTACAAAGCACCGCTAGTCGCTTGATTGAGCCAAACGCATGTAAACCACTGCGTACCAACAACAAATAATAATACAGCAGATTGGGTGTAACTGGGTTGAACTGCTTCTACTCCGGTAACGCTGGTATGTAACCATGGAAACCAGATCCTACTGAGACAAGGACAGCAGATGCATTTAAGAGCACAAGAGGAAAGCCGTGTGTAAAATGGCACGTATATAATTGGCTACTTTGGCGGCTCACTCATTTTGATCATTGTGATAAAATATGTTTGTGTGTCGTGTGTGTAAGTGTGTGTTTGTGTTTTTATACCTTTATAGCAGGGTATTGTATATTACTGTATGTACTGCACTGTATCAGATTTTATGCTGTATGTTGATTAATTGTGTTGTATTCTGTGTATTATTGTGTGTTAAAATGGGTGAGAGGGGGTTGAGAAAATGGGGTCAATAGGATGTTTCGATAATTTCACGTAATTTCCTTTACAAAGCAATAGGGAGAAAAGCCTTAAAGCCTCAGCTGAACACCATTTATTACTTAATTATGAAAGACTTTGCAAATTTTGTCAAATTAAGCATTTATTTAATTTTTACATTTGCACATCAACCAGTATTTTATTTGACTGTTTTTTAAAATAATTTTGACCTCATTTAAAAGATTCTCATTTATATTTTTTTACCCCTGGTCTTTGTTTAGATCAGGTTTAAAAGAAAAAAAAAAAAAAAAAATCAATAATGATCAATATTGACTAAAATGAAATCATTATATTGCGATTCATTTTTCAGCCGTATTGACCCCAGCCCTACGTCTGCTTTATCCAACCCCTTTTCTAACTAATTGTTTTGTTGGGGTTTTATTAGATGTGCCAAAAGCAGGAAATGTGGTGCGTTTGATTGGCTTCAGGAAAGAAATGACTTTGTGCTGCTGCAGTTGAGAATGTGTGAAAATTAAATTCTCAAAATAAACAAGGTGTTGCGTGGTCGCATTTACCCACAGTGTGCTTATACAGTTCATACGATAGCTATTTTATCTATAATTACTATTCCAGACACTGTACGCTAAGGCAAAGTTACGAGGCGTCTTTGAAAGCGTCACAAGATTTTAGCGGATTAATCGGCTATACAGTAGCGCCCCCTCATGTAGACTGTGACCCTACGCTAGAGCGGTCAGACCAGTTTGGGAGCAAAGCTGAATCGTTTTATAGCCTACTCAATATGCTTTGTAAATGTACTCTGGGCCCGCAGTGCTATTGTAACCATTAACCCTTCCACTCCTGTCTCGAACTCCTCAAGACACGCCCCTTTTCCCGGCAAAATCTGACCCTCCGGCATGCTGCTACTGAGGTCCATGCAACAACAAACGAACAAACATACAGCAAAAGTGACGACAACGGTAAATTCAAACATCGTAAGAAGTAACACGGAAGCATATACAATTGAACTATAGCGAAAGCCCTCAGTATTCAGATAGACAACTCAATTTGAAAAAGTTAAAACCCCAAGACTGGCACGCACACACGCTTACACTCTCTCAATCTCTCCATTCACGCCAGCATGCAAACTCCCGGTAAGTTTACAAGGAATACTCTTTAAAAATAATACTCCAATAGCTCTGTGTAAACATCGCAGTAACGGTAGTAGTAGTAAGTCTAGTTTTCGATCCGGACGGTCCAATACACTTTTCAACGGCGAAACCCTTTTTTCGAAATCTATGTAGTTAATATACTGAGCTCTTTGGTTCTCGTAACAGTCTTTTGTAGATCGATTACGGTGTGACTGACTACTTAGTATCTTCCTTGCGTTATGGTACAAGTTAGAATCCCGGGCGTTTGGACCCGAGGAGCCTAAAGAAAGGTCTGATTGTCCATAGAGACGTATGTATTTACATCAAAGTCAGTCACAGTGGTTCTCCGTTTTAAATGTATGTGGAAGATCGCGCTCCGGTCTTCGTCCCATTTTATCTCCCGAATAATTTTTCCTCTCCTGAGATCGATGTGCAGCTCGCGAACGTTTTTGTGGAAGTTTGGATGTTTTTGACTGAAGGGGAGGGAAGGGCACAAAGGCTAGGACAAGTCATTGTTGCTCGGAGACTTCCCTCCTCCGTTGAGAAGGGCGGAGGCGCTGCGGCTCTTGGTGGGCGTCCCGGAACCGGATCGAGACAGCTCCGTGAGGTCGTGGAGCGATGGCTCTCTGTACATGGCAACTGCAACACACACAGAGACAGGTTTTGAGTCTGTGACAGCGGCGAGGCGAGGGAGGGATGTTTGTACGGCACAGGTCTCACACAAGGCAACAAAGCCAGATAGAAACACACATATAAGGCTAATATTGGAATCAGAAATAATGTGTGTGTATAATTGATATTGTGTCTTCTAGATTCCCAAATACACATAAATTGTTGACTTTTTTTATTTCAGTAAACAGTGAATTAAAAAGAGAGAATGAGTATTTATAGGCGCATGGTTTGAGTCTGTAATAAGGCAGGGCAAGCACAGGTCATACAGAGGGCAACTCAAAGTGCAAAACAAAACAAGATAGAAAAAGTCATACAAGGCATTAGAATCATAAATAATCATAGTACATTATAAAGAGAGAAGATGCAAGACTTCAGGTGTAGCACAGCTGAACAGAACTGTTTCAACTTGGATTTGTCAGAGTAGAGGCCTGTGCCACATTTTGAGAAAGACTGTTCGCAGCATGAATCTGAAATGCTGCTTAGTCCTGACTCTGGGCACTGACAGGAGTCCAGTCCCTGTGCTCCTCAGAGTTGGTTCATATGGCACTAACATGTCTCAGATGTACTTTGGTGCGAGGCCATGGAGAGACTTGTAACAGATTTGCTATTCTCTGAGCCACAGGAGCCAGTGCAGAGACCTGAGAACTGGAATCATGTGAGAGGACTTCCTGGTTCTAGTCAGGACTCGAGCTGCTGCGTTTTGAGTAAACTAAGTCATGTATGGTGGTGATGGGGTGTGATTTTGCATAGCTCAATGATATTCTTGCAGTTAGCGTTTTATCCTTATCAACAGTGGTAAAGAGAGCTGTGTTGTTTAGACTTGTGTCAACTTTCACCTCAGAGAGAACAGGAATGTGTCAAAATATATGGGTCAAAACAAACTTATGACAATCAATATATTCTTTTAAAGTCAGACAGGAAAGAGAGAAACGTCTTATAACGGACTAGCTTATCAAAATGTGTTTGTGATGGAATTATAGGACACAACAAGTGCATTCGCTACACAAAAGTACACTCAAAGTTTTGTGATGCTACTTTGAATGTGTGTTTAGATACAAGCTTGTTTCCCCATTGACTTCATAAATCCACTTCAAACGATAAATACCATCATGGAATCACCTTGGCTACAACAAGTCTATTTAAAGAAATGCAAACAGTATGAAGTGTAGTTTCCTCTCTATAAAATACACTTCATCCTCGTCTCCAAAACACATGTTATTGTTTTGCTAATTTCACACTTGTGGCACAATATTCTCAAATTCTGCCATAAATAAGTCTTGAATTTAAAGTGCTCATGACAGTAGTGTTTACTTTTTCAAGTGGATTTAAACATAAAGTCAGTTGGATAGTTTTACACTAAAGAGAATTTGGGAAGAAATGCTGAAATATACAGGAAGTAAAGCCACAACATTTTTATCCTGACTTTAAATGAGGGTAACTGTCATGTTGTACTAGCGGTTATATGATGATGTTGGAGTAAACACACGCGGCACATGAAAAGCACACAAAGACATTTACAAACCGCAATTATGGTGAGGGACCACTGCATATAAATGTCTAAGTTGTGTGTTACTTTTTGTCCTGGACTCATGTGTCATTTTTCTGTTTTGTTTCTTAATAAAAAAATAAAAAAATAAATAGAAATTTGTTACCTAGAAGAATATATTTATTTATTTCTTTTTTTAATATTTCTTTTTATATAAAAATGCAATACAAATATTTTCCGAAAATAAGTTTACAGTTGTAATTCAGTTTGTGAAAATATATATTCCATGATGAGGGTTGGTCCACACGGTCGCTGCTACAATGCCTCCTGTTATGTCATAATTCAAAACCAAGAAACTAAGTTACGAGTATAAATATGGCCATGAACTGGGATGAAATATACAAAAATCTTAAGCAGAATGTTTAATATAATAATCATGACTGTGTTTTGTGAAAAGTACAATCCAACCTGTCGGAAGAACCTTAAAGTCCAGATAATTAAAGTCCTATAAATGTGTGTCTTGTTGGGCTGTGACCCGCTGGCCTCTCCGCACTGTACCGGGCGGCGCCGCCTTTGTCTCTTTGCAGCATCTTTGACGTTTGGAGGCGAGTAACCGTGGAAACTGGACAACCTCACCTCTCTCGGCACCTGACGTCAGCGCGGCATCCATAAATAACACCGTGTTTTGTCCATGGATCTACAGACATGACCGTTCTCTGGTTTCATTTTAATTTTGTCGTCTCGTCGTGGAGCAAAAGGTCGCAGAGAAAGTGAGATTTCAGTTCTGTACAAAACCATAATTAACCTTTAGCTAAGAAAAAAAAAACGAGTTCTCAAACTTCTCAAAACTAGCGAAAGCTTCAACTGCCGCCGTCTATGCAAAGCTATGGCATTTACATTTGGTTTTTCAGACATTAATGTGTGATTTTTCTCATTAACAGTATGCAAATTGACTCATTTCTCATTTACATCTGGAATATTAAAGCTGGGGTACTTTTTTTTAACCCTAACCTTCTCCCCTGAATAATATTCCTGTCTTGTAAAAGTTAAATGCTGTGAACAAATCAGACCACTACATGCCGTCGTCTTCTTATTAATAAAGTTTTTATTACATACTGTGGTTACATTTGCTGTGGTTTGAAATGTTGATACCCTAATATCCATGAATTTAGACGCATAGCTAACCACCGACACCCGTACTCATGGACTAACCACTCTGGACCAGTATTTATTAACCTAGAAGCATGGCTAACCACCCCACACCTGTATTTATTAACCTAGAAGCATGTTTAACCACTCTGAACCTGTATTTATTAACCTAGAAGCATGGCTAACCTCTCTGGACCTGTATTCATGAGCATAGAAGCATGGCTAACCACTCCACACTAGTATTCATGGCTAACTTAGCTCTTAGCTGTGATTCTAAATTACACTAATATCATGATCACAAACCCACACAAATATGTACGTATACACACACACACAGGTGTACGCACACATAGTACACACACACAAACACACAGGTGTACGCACACATAGTACACACACACACACACACACACAGGTGTACGCACACATATGTATTCACGCGCACACACACACACACAGGTTCTCGTCTCTCACCGCGCCTGTAACAGATTGTAAATTGCAGTTTTGTGTAAAGTGGGAGCGTCTCTGTGGAGAAGGTGATGTAACACGTTTCTAAAGGATCTGGAAGCTGCAGATTAACGTTTATGTTTTTACTGTGAGAAAATCTGATTCAGACACACAACTACACAGAGCTCGAACACACAACTACACAGAGCTCGAACACACAACATGGACGAGGTTTGATTCCTATCTGTTCTTTTATGTACTGTGTGTCTTCTGTACAATAAAGACCATAGTAGTACTTGAATTGCAGCTGATACTTTTGCTGCTGCTACACTACAGAACAAATACAAGAATATTTACTTTATTTTGAGTGTGAAATAATCGATTTTTGGTCATTAAAAATAAAATCTATTTACCTGTGGATGTTATGTTTTAAGTAAGTAAGTAAGTAATCTTTATTTATATACCGCCTTTCACAGACCAGAGTCACAAAGCGGTTTACAATTGTTATTATTTTTGGGCACTTGTCTCTCACTCCACACAGAGATGGGATTCTTCTACTGAAGAATGTGAAACCATATCTTCAGTAGAAAATACATGGTGAAACAAGTATGAAAGGTCAAAAAAAATGCTTTCCGCCTGCAACTCCCTACACTACCACCAGAGGGAGATCATTTGTTAAATTATGTTTGTATTTTTTTCTTCGCCACATGATTGCAAAGGAAATTGCTAAAACTAATTTATGGGCACTACTTTTGTTGACATAAACTGCTCTAGGTGTGATGTCATAGTGGTACAATGACATCATACAATTCCAGGACAGAAACAGGAGCTTTTAGAGAGAAGGGGCGACAGAAATATTAGTGAGGATGGATCGAAAAACAACTCCAGGTCTGTTTTTAAGACCAAAGACCTAAGAAATTATTTAGCGCTGCATGTAGTGTTAGAAGTGAGAAATTACATTCTGCTACATTTACCAGGACCGGGACGCGCTTTAAAAATAATTGGTTAAAAATATGGAGGAAGTGTGTGTGGATAGGGAAGTCTCTGCTTACACTGCTGCCACCGCGACCCGGCAACGGATGAAGCGGAAGAAAATGGAATGTTTAAAAATAGTCCATTTTCCAGTAAAAAACTTTCCCATGAGATTAGATTCCGAGGCGTTAAAATGCGTCAACAAAAATGTATGCGTCATTTTTCGGTAATTAATAATCTTAATTAATGCGTTAAAAGTCTGGGCCCTAATATTAACATTAAATCCAACATGACGTGGTCTGAGTGAAAGCACACAACTGTAAAGATTGTCACAACCCTAATTTCGAGGCAATTTTTATGGTTTGAAATGCAGACAACAGCTCTGGTTTTGTCAAAGCAAAATTTAAAAATGAAAAGATCATCATATCAACGAATGGAGCTAAATTTATAATAACCCTGTATACGTTTTTTTTATGAGGGAACAATGATATGATATTATTAAAAACTCATGAGCATGACAGTGATACCAAAACACACCTTGTTTTGACTTCCTGTTACTTACAACGGCAATAAACAAATCTGCTTCTGATCAAATGTGTTCTTTAAGTCCTCCTGAACAAGAGAAGAGGAATCACCGTCTGCATAATCTACAGGAAACAGCTTATTGGACAAATCCGCTAAACGTAAACTGTAATTAATGAATGCATTGATTTGTTGCTGCTTATGAAGGACCATTTCCACAAATAATTAGATTCCGTGGATGCTATCTGTGCAGACTGTGGAACAAATCTTGGGGTGAATAAGGTTCTTGGCATGTTTAAACTTTTGTCGATTTCTTAAAAAGTCCTGAACTGGATTTTTACCATCTCAAAAACACTGAAAATAGAAGGACTTCATTAAGTAGTCTCACATT